AAGGAGGCATTCCTCAGCCCCCGCAGCCTTGTCCTGTTTGAATATTAAGATTATGAATTGATTAAAAAAACGACAGTAAGCCCTTACTTAGATCTTCGCAGTATCTAGAAAATATCTCCTGGGGCTGTACTGGTGAAGCTTTTCACTGAGTGAGACTCATACAATTTTTACCTTTAATATTTTTTTTATACAGTCTTGTTTCACATGCTGGAGTGACTAAAGAGTTTTGAAATTTCTGGCAACTATGTTCTTTTGAATTCTAAGGAGGTAAGCAGTATGAATTGCTGAAGAGTAATAATTTCCTTTGGAAGGTGGGTAGGAAACCACTAAAGCTGCACATGTGTTAGGAAGAAGTCACTCAAACAGGAATGATTTAAATGGATAAGAAAAAAATCACCTAATATAGGGAAAGAGCCGTGCCTCTAGAATTTATAATAGTTGACTCAAGAAGAAAAAAAGTGATGTGATGAAATGGCAGGCTGCTGGAGCATGTGACTAAAGGACCCATCCCAGAGTAGAAGACTGGTGACCCTTTTGATGTTGAATCAGGATGAGGCTGGGAATTTAACAGGCTGTTGGGCTACAGGGAGGGTGAAAAATTCCAAGCAGCACAGAAGTTTCTATCATGCCGTTAAATGAGTGATTTGCAAGGCAGTGACTTTAGACACTGCAGCTAATAAGGGAGTTACCTGCTTCAACACGCTGGTAGGAACAAGCTCACTGATTTTGGAAAAATATGCGATCCTCCACTTACTAGGGGAAAAAAAGGCATATGCTTCAAGGGCCAGGGCTGCCCTTGCGTAGGCAGACGTGCACTGCTGAGCAGCCACAGCTCAGACTCCTCCTGGAGCTGCCTTCAGCACCTGTGTACAAGCCCACAGGAGCCAGCCCCGTTAGCACACAGCCACCCGGCCTCAGTTTTGACCTGATGAGTGAATAATTCACCTTTTCATGGCAGTATACAGACATATGAATAAGGTAGCATTACACATGGCCTTTGAAAGCTTATACTCTTTTGTATAAGTTCTACTGGCCTAGGAAAATGATGTTTCTTAATTTTGCTTAGTGATCTAGAGCAGCATTAAGCAAACTAAGACCCACTTGCTGCTTGTTTTGTAAATAAGGTTTTATTGGAACACAGCCACATCTAGTCATATACGTGTTGCTGTGGCTGCTTTTATGCTACATCAGCAGGGTTGAGTAGTTGCAACCAAGATCCTATAGCCTGCAAAGCCAAGAATATTCAGTCTCTGGCCCTTTACAGAAAAGGTTTGCTGACCTCACTCTAGAGAATATAATGTCCGTAGTTGAGGCTGCTATTTTAGAAGAAAAAAGAAAATCTATCCCCTGCTTTTACATTACAGTTTTTTAACTATCCTTACAATATGTTCAAGATATATGCTTTATTTGTAAACTATATATATAAAAGGAAATGGTCTTGTGGATTATTTTTACAATAATTTTTACCTTCACCATCTTCTATCTTAAGAAACAAAACAAAACGAGACAAAAGGCAAATTAAACCCAAAGCATGCAGAAAGAAGGAAAAAATAAAGATTAGTGTGAGGGAAAAAAATGAAATGGAACCCAGAAAAAGAATAAAGAATATTAATGAAACAAGAATTGATTCTCTGAAAAGATCTGAGTAAGAAAACACAAAATACTAAAATCAGGACTAAAGAAGTAGACATCACCAACCTTACAGAACTTAAAAGTATTACTGAATTATTAATTCCCACAAAGAAACCCAGGCACAGTTGGTTTCACTAGTGAATTCTACCAAACATTTAAAGAAGTATGGTAAATAATACCAGTTCTTCACAATCTCTAAGAGGAGGAAAACATCCGGACTCATTGTATGAGGCCAGCATTATCCTGATACCAAAGCCAGACAATCACAAGAAATGAAAACTACACAGCAATATCCCTCATGTAATACAGAGGCAAAACATTACAAATTGCAATAGCAATACAAAGACGGGATTGTAAAGAATGATCAACTAGGATGCATCCCAGGAATGCAAGGTTGGCTTAATATCCAAAAATCAACTGATGTAGTACACCATATTAATAAAGCACAAAAATCATCTGATCATCTCAATAGATGCAGAAAGAACATTTGACAAAATCGAACATCTAGTCATGATAAAAACTCTCAGTAAACCAGGAAAAGAAGGAAACATCTTCAACCTGATAAAGGGCATTTACCAAAACCCCACAACTAACACCATAAATTAAAAGAATGAATGTTGCCACCTAAGGTCAAAATCATGACAAGAATGTTATTCTCACCAGTGCTGTTCAACATTGTACTGGACGGAGGATCTAGCCAGTGCAATTAGTCAAGAAAAAATATATAAGGCATCCAGGTTGTAAAGGAAGAAGAAACACTGTCTTTATACTTGGATGACATGATCTTATATGTAGAGAATTCTATGGAGTCTACAAAACAACTACTAGAGCTATTAAGCAAGTTCAGCAAGGCCATGGGATAAAAGACCAGTATACAAAAATCAACTGTACTGATATACTAGCAATGAACAATCTGAAAAGAAATTCAGAAAATACTTTCATTCACAATAGCATGAAAAGAATAAAATACTTAGAAACAGACTTAAAAAGTTCAAGAATTGTACACTGAATTACAAAGCACTGCTGAGAGAAATTAAAGATCCAAATAAATGGAGAGCTGTCCTGTTCATGAATTGGGAAACGTAATATTGTTAAGATAACAATACTCTCCACATTGTTCTATATTTTCAATGCAATCTATCAAAATCCCAGCTGATTTTTTTTTGATGGGGGTTGGGGGGAGAACAGAAATTGACAAGCTGATCCTAAAGTTAATAGGGAAATACAAATGACCCAGAATAGCCAAAACAATCTTGAAAAAGCAGAACCAAATTGAAGAACTCACACTTCCCAACTTCAAAATTTACTATAAAGCTATGTTAGTCAAGGCAGTGTGGTTCTACATAAGACAGCTATATAGGTCAATGGAACAGAATTGAGAGTCCAGAAATAAACCCCTAGATTCATAGTCAACTGATTTCAACAAGGATGCCAAAACAATTCAATGGAGAAAGAACAGTCTTTTCCACAAATGAATGCTGGGTCTAATAAATATCGACATGCAAAAGTATGAACCTGGACCCTTATCTGATGTGATACACAAACACTAACTAAAAATAGATGATAGACCTAAATATAACAGCTAAAACTATAAGACTCTTAGAAGAAACTATAGGTGTAAATCTTCATGATCTTGAGTCAAGTCATGATTTCTTAGATAGGATATCAAGAGCACATGCAATAAAGAACAAGTTGATAAACCAGACTTCAAAATTTTAAACTTCTGTACTTCAGAAGAAACCATTAAAAATGTGAAAAGCCACAGACTGGGGGAAAAAACAAACATTTGCAAATCATATGTCTAGTAAAGACTTGTATCCAGAATATATAAAAATCTCTCACAACTCAATAAGAAGACAAATAACCCAATATAAAAATGGGCAAAAGATTCACATAGACACTTCACCAAAAAAGATATATGAATGATATATGAATTTCTTGTGCCAACAAGCACAAGAAATGCTCACCATGGTCAGAGAAATGCAGATCAAAAGTACAATGAGATAACACTTGACATCTACTAGAATGGCTATTACAAAAAGAAAGACAATATTAAGTGTTGACAAAGGTATGGAGAAGCTAGAACTCTCTTGTGTTGCTGGTTGGGAATTAAGACAATGCAGCCACTTTGGAAGCAGTTTGACAGTTTGTTAAAAAATTGAACATGGATTTACCATATGAGCTAGCAGTTCCACTCTCAAGAGAAAGGAAAATATAGGTCCACACAAAGACTTGTATGCAAGTGTTCAGAGCAGCATCATTCATAATAACCAAAAAGTGGAAGTAGTAAATGAATAAATAAATCATGTGGCATATCCATACAGCAGAATGATATTCAGCAATAAAAAGGAATGAAGTATTAACACAATGCTGTAACATGCATAAACCTCCGAATTACCATACTAAGTGAAAGAAGCCAGACACAAAAGACCATTATATTAAATGTCCAGAACAGGCAAATCTATAGAGACAGTACGTGGCTTAGTGGCTGCCTAAGGCTGGGGGCAGGAGTGACGAGTGACTGCAGATGGACAACAGCTTTCTTTCTGGGGTAATGGAATCGTTCTAAGGTGGATTATGATGATGGCTGTACACTATATAACTATCCTAAAAATCACCGAACTGTATACTTTAAATATTACATATTGGTAAATTACACCTCAAAAAGCCATTTAAAAACACTGAAAAAAAAAAATCTAAGTGTCTGTACAAATCCTTCCGTGATGCCAGCTTTCTCAAGGACATTAATTTCTATGTGAGGGGATCTACTACTCTGGAGGGAAGGTGAATACAGAACCTGCTTGAGAAATTACTTGTCCAGAGTCAGCTGCTATGTATAAGGAATGAGTCAGATATCTTCTAAAAAGATTTCAGGAAGCTTTAAGGTCAATCTTTAAAAAAATTTAATAGCAGAAAGAAAGAAAAGAACACCATCCGTGACATATGATTTGGGCTATTTTAGAAAACTAACTGCTGAAATATTTACATTCTGAAAAAGATGCTTTCTTGTCAAGAGATTATTCAGCAGTATTTACATTGACCCAGTGCCTGTACATCTTGATATGAAAATAAACTGAGCCGCCAACATGTGATAACAAGGCTTAAACTTTTATCTGTTATAAACTTGCAGTTAATATACAAAGATTTAAAAGGGCCTCTTACATCCTTAGTGTTGTTTCATTTCTCTCTTTCCCTTTGCAGCAAGGAGATTCTAGACCCTAAAGGAACTCCTAACCCAGCGCCCACCTTCAGCACACTTGACTGTACCCCTTCTGTTGAGGAACACATGAGTGACAAGGACAGACCTCTGTATCAGATAATGTGTTGGCTCTGAAGCTGATAACCATTAAAAGACAATATAACTGAGCTTTCCTAAAATAAACCATTTATTGAAAAAAGAACCTTTTTCTTAAATTTCATTAATCAGCCTTTTGCATAACAAACCCGTGGCTTGCCAACAACAACAGGTGAGGTTTCACAGTCAGTGCACTCGACAAACGAGATCAACAAGGCCCAGGACGCCTGATAACACTACAACTGCTTTTGAACCTAGAAAGGTCAAAAATACTACACTGATGTCACGGTTCTCAGTCACCCGAGAAACAGAGGTGACGGAGGCGGTGGTCCGTGTACAGTAGTAATGGCACTTAACATGCAGCTTCTTTACCTCGTAGACACCATCACTCGGGAGGGCCCCGTGCCACGTCGAACAGACAGGAGCAGCAGGAGAAGTGACGCTTGTCACCTGTGCAGTCTTCAGTCTTGGAAGGTTAAAAAGGCTTATACTGCTTCTCGGCACAGTCCTTATGTAAATATTACATACAGTAGTGATTAAGAGAATTTTCCGAGTACACACACTCCTAGGCCACAGTGATTAGCTTCATTCTTCATCTGTGCAAACCTGTGAGGAAGGCAGGAGAGAGCTGAACCCTATTCATGCCACGTGTAAGATTTAGCGGTAAGTCATAATCAGTGCATCTTGATGCTCCCAGCACTGTGCCTGGCACAGAGCAAAGGCGTAATCAATGCAATGAAATGTCCGTGCTAAGTTACTGCTCTATGAATTGACTATTGAAAGCATTTTTAAGAATGTATTTGTGGGGCTTCCCTGGTGGCGCAGTGGTTGAGAGTCTGCCTGCCGATGCAGGGGACACGGGTTCGAGCCCTGGTCTGGGAAGATGCCACATGCCGCGGAGCAACTAGGCCCGTGAGCCACAACTACTGAGCCTGTGCTCCTCAACAAGAGAGGCCGCGATAGTGAGAGGCCCGCGCACCGCGGTGAAGAGTGGCCCCCGCTCGCCGCAACTAGAGAAAGCCCTCACACAGAAACGAAGACCCAACACAGCCAAAAATAAAAAATAAATAATGTTTTTTAAAAAGGGCTTAATACATTAAAAAAACATATTTGTACAATATCAAGTCAATAAAAATTGCTTATATACTTTATAAAGAATAAATACATTTTTATTTAATTACAAATCCCTAATATCTATGCAGCATATCCAGCTATTGATTACTTAATTTCACTCACCCAGAAATAATGTGACCCCTCTCTTGAATCTTCCTTTCCTGTATCAGGAGCTCCTCTGCAGGACCCTGTAAATGTTTTCTCCAGGTTTCCACTCTCATTCCATGTCTCCTCTAAATGCTCTCCCAGCAATATTTCTCTCTCTCAAATCCGTATCCTATCCCAGTTCTCTCGAGTGCCAGTCCAAAATACCCAAATGCCTGTCTAAAATCCCCCAACAGCTATTCCAAATACGCCTCGAGCTCAATCTACCAAAGAGGAGACCATCATCTCCCGACGCAAGCCCCAACCAGATGCCCTCTTTACCCGTCTTGGCAAATGGAATCTCGATAACCTGGTGACACGAGCCAGAGCCCGGGAGCCGTCCTGGACTCCTCCCCGTCACGCACCTTTCACATCCCATCACTTACTCACGGCCATTCTCACTCCTATATACGGCTGGTGACTCACCCCTGACCTCCCACTCCCAACCCAGCAGCTGTGTCGGCAGCTTCCCAGCTAGTCTCTCACCTCCAGAGTGACTGTTCTAAAACACAACTTAATCATGTCATGCTTACAATAAAACTGAAATCCCTTCATGTGGTCCCTGCTTACTTTCCCAGCCTTATGTTTTGCCACTTTCCGCATCCTGTGCTCTATCAGTATGTACCGATACACAGTTCTTTGGGTGCTTTACCCTCTTAGCAGTGAGCCTTTCCATGTCTCTTCCATTCTGTCCGCCATACTCCTCCCTGCGTTTCCTGACCTGGCTAAACCCTCCCAAACAGCTCAGGCATCTCACTCTAAAGAAAGTTAATAGGGACTTTCTTAACCACTGCGCCACCAGGGAAGAATCCACCTGCCAATGCAGGGGACCCGGGTTCGAGCCCTGGTCCGAGAAGATCCCACATGTCGAGGAGCAACTAAGCCTGTGCACCACAACTACTGAAGCCCACGTGCCTAGAGCCCAGGCTCCGCAACGAGAGAAGCCACTGCAATGAGAAGCCCGCGCACCTCAACAAAGAGTAGCCCCCGCTCACCACAAGGAAGACCCAACACAGCCAAAAATAAATAAAAATAGTAAAAAGAAAAAAAAAAAGAGTAATAGCTGGGATTACCCGACTGGATTAAATTCCTCTTTTCAGTGACCCTACAACATGGCATATATACCATTATCACAGCTCTTAACATAATGCTTAGTCATTACTCCCCTGTCTCTACTCTCCCAGTAGAGATTTGTTGTTACTAACCTGTGTACTCTAAAAGAGGGAAAATTGTGCCTTTCATCCAGTCCCATTTAAAATTCCATTTAATAGTCCCAAGTGCACCTCAAACCATCCAAATGGATCAAGGAGGAGAACCTCGATGAACATTTTCCAAAAGAAAAAGCATACAAAATTCCCCAGCATAATACATTTAGTTTCTTCCCATTTCAGATATAGATATTTTATATTTAAGTTTCCAAATTTCCTTGAGTGCCAGATGCGATCAAAACTCAAATACTTAAACAAGGAGAGGGCTACACAGCAATCTGCCAAACCTTGACGAAGGAATGGTCGAGGAGCTGGCTGGCCGTCCACCTCATCCTGGGCTCACTTTCTAGGCAGTGAGAAAGGAAGTCCTTTCCTTCTGGGCTTAATCTTTCAGGGATTGGTGGCTTATGCCCCATTCCCACTTTGTACATAATCTGAAAGTTGTGCTCATATTCATGCCAAGGTCTCTAAAAACAGAAAAAACAAATCAGGTTTCAATACTACATGGCCATACAGAAATGCAACTGCCCAATCTCTTTTTAGACATCTCAGTGTTGACACATATTGAGGCCGGCAAACTTTTACTTAAAGGGCCAAACTAACTATTTTAGGCTTGCAGGCCATATGGTCTCTGTCACACCTATTCAATTCTCCCACTGTAGCGTGAAAGCAGCCTTAGGTTATAATATAATAAAGGAATGGGTATAACCATGTGCCAATAAAACTTTATTTACAAAACCAGGTGGTGAGCATAGTCTGCCTACCCCATTTAGGTGTCCAATTAGTCCACTATTATCTAGATGCCATCATCATGTAAATAAAAAAATGTAACATATAAAATAATATAAAAATGTCAATCAAACAAAATTCAACAGCTATCATACAGGGATGTTTAATATGCTACCTTGTTGAATAATCGGCATCAAATTATTGATAATTTGCAAAGCTTAGATTATTTTATTATGATTACAGGGAAATGAGATTCATGGGGGAAAGGACTGAGTTTGTATGGCATTCTAATTTGTGGACCATCGTTTAGTTATTGAGATATATGTTCTTCAATTTGAGAACTTGTTCTTTTTCTAATGCATGGCTTGACTGAAATAACAGATATCATGGGCATCTTTCTATGTTAATGCTAATAGAAATAATATTAGCTAATAGTTACTAAGCACTTATTTTCAGCAGCTGCGAGGTATAGCTGTATAATAATTTCCTACTAGTAAGACTTAAGAGGTTTCTAACTTTTTTGCTTTATAAGTAATGGCTACACCCCCACACACACTGTGCCTCTGTATATTTGTATAATTTTTCATTAGTGGGATCTTCATCAGAAGATCAATTTTCAGATACTATGTCATCATACACAACAGTTTCACTGCCCTGCAAACGCTTGTGCTCTACCTATTTGTCCTTCCCTCCCTCTCCCAGAGGCCCTGTCAACCATTGATCTTTTACTGCCTTTATTGTTTTGCCTCTTCTGGAATGTCATATAGTTGGAATCATACAGTACGTGGTGTTTTCAGATTGGCTTGTTTCTTTTTTTGGCCATGCCTCGAGTCTTGCAGGATCTTAGTTCCCCGACCAGGTATCGAACCCGCACCCTCAGCAGTGAAAGTGCCGAGTCCTAACCACTGCACCAGCAGGGAATTCCCCAGATTGGTTTCTTTCACTTAGCAACATGCTTTTTTTTTTTTTGCGGTACGCGGGCCTCTCACTGTTGTGGCCTCTCCCGTTGCGGAGCACAGGCTCCGCACGCACAGGCTCAGCGGCCATGGCTCATGGGCCCAGCCGCTCCGTGGCATGTGGGATCTTCCCGGACCGGGGCACGAACCCGTGTCCCCTGCATCGGCAGGCGGGCTCTCAACCACTGCACCACCAGGGAAGCCCAGCAATGTGCTTTTAAGGTTTCTCCATGTCATTTCATGGCCCAATTTCTTTTGGTTGCTGTACAATATTCCTTCATGTAGATTACCACAGTTTATCCATTTGAAAGATATCTTGGTTGCTTCCAAGTTTTGGCAATTATGAATAAAGCTGATATGGGCATTCTTGTGCCAGTCTTTGTGGAGATGTAAGTTTTCAACTTCCTGTTTCTTTTCACAGCTGCTTAATTCTGTGTTTTGAGAATTATGCTTTTTTTTGTTCCTCTGAGGAATTCTCTAAGTCATGTATCTTATAAATATTTGGTTCCTAGTTTGTCACTTGTATTAACTTACTTATCTTTTGACAGGTCATGTTCTCTATTTTGCAGGAAATGTGTCCACAGTATTCACAATGATAGTAAGACCACAATTACTGCTCTGTTAACGTAAAGTGCCCTCCTCAAGTCCCCCTGCCCCCGGTGCAGGCTCTGCTCACCTTGCCAGTCACCATCTCTATGACGACACACCCTAGACTCCAGATGTCGGCCGCACGCCCGTGGCCTTCTCCTTTGGCGCGAGTGATGACTTCTGGGGCCATGTATGCTTTAAAAGTCACAGATATGGTGATAAGAATGGGTTATAAATATAGCACCATGTAGTACTAGAGCCAAGCAATACACTAATATCGCCTAATATTCCACATAGAAGAAACAACTAATTTGTTCGGGGGTGGGGGAGGGAGGAACTTTCTCTGAATTATATACTAAGAAACATCAAAACTTGAAAATAAATATTTCAAATCAATCTCTCGGCTGGACATTTTAGGAGCCAAAATATCTTCTAAAAGACAATTCTGAATATGCAAATATTCAGATAAATTGTACTGCAATGAGAATATGAAATTCAACCTGCAAAGGAGGATGGAAAATTTTATGACGTGTTTCTAAACAATCAAATAATCACCATTTAAACATGTTGTTTTGACTAGAATAGTTTTAATAAACCCAACGTGAATGACAAGGTTTTTCTGGGAAGAAAAGAGGCCTTTCTTCCCTCCTTTAAGTCTAAGGGAGAAAAGTGATTTCCCAATCTGACAAGCGCTTTCAGGGGTGGCTCCTCCCCCGTCTGGTTAGATGCCCTCACCTGCTCTCCACGTCTGCTGACCGGGAGGAAAAGGGAAAGCCGGGGTCCCAGCACACTGGAGTGAGCCCCGATGCAAAGACAAATCTAGCCGGACCCACCTGCTGTCCCCAGCGTGCTATTCACCTCACCAGGCATGGTCTGAGCATTGTTTTTAAGCTTTACTGAACATCCAAAATCTCCCAGCTTGATTAGTCCAGATGAGGTAAGGAAGATGTTGGCACCTAACAAGAAATACGGAGTTGTGAGCCTCTAAAACACAACGCAGGTATTTTAAAGTTTACATGGTAACCTAAACTATCAGGAACTTGATTTACAAAAGTTATAAAGACTTATGAAACTTCACTTGCAAAGTGTAATCATAGAAAGATTTTAAGCCTTATTCACAAATGTTAAAACACAGCGAAGACATTTTAGTATCAGTGCAGATAGCTCTGACCAATAAATTCTGAACTGAAATACATGCATAAATTCTAACATTAAAAACCCAGGGAGATACTTAAAGTACACATAAAACACAAATGCTTGTGGCCACAGTCCCTGAAAATTAAGTTTATATACGATCAGCAGTGCCTGCAACAGAAAGCAACGTGTAGACAAGACCTGGCACACATGCTGCTGGTCTGCAGAGCTGTATCCGAGGCCACCATTGGACTGATTTCAGACTGCCTGAAAAGCATGTTCTGTGACTGTCTCACATCTCCGCAAGCAGTACACAGGCCCGGCCTGTACTCCAGTTGGAACCCGGGGTTACCGCTCATCTCCCAGGGCGGCTCTGCCTCCTCCAGAGGCTACCGGCCGCGGCCACTCCAACCGAGCCGCACGGCTCAGCGCTACGTGTCGACGGCACCTCCTTCCAAAAGTGACACAGAGCCCCTCACTTTAGACAACAAGCCACACGATGAGCTGCGATCTGTTGGTCCTCACAGCCTGAGAAGCACACGGCGCTAACTGCGTGATTCCGGAGCTAGCTCCCAGGCCCACGCTCTCAGACACGATGAGCTATAAAGAATATCCCAAGGATGCACACGGACGGGCTTCACTCAGGGACTCTGAGGGATTCTCTTTATGGCCGTGGCCAACGACATGAAGGTACCATTCCATGAGTATGGAATTTGTGTCAGAACAACTGGAAACAGGCAATGCCATGGCCTGACCCAGAGCCATTTAAGCAAATGCCCAGAATGATCCCAGACAGCAAAGTAATGCGGTGGACGGGCGGGCAGGCAGCAAGACTGGGGTATGCTGGGGATTCAAGAGGAGCCACTTTAGAGAGTGCGGACAATTCTTCCACCCAGCAAAGCAGGTGATGGGTAACCCAGCCCCCTCTGAGGCGAATGCCTGGTCTGAAATCCGGCCATTCTAGAGTCAACCTGTTTAGGCCTCAGATTATGGGACAGAGTGGAATCCTTCAGTCTAGGGCCATTAGAGACAAAGCTAATTTGTCACTTTAATTATCCACAAGACTCCCAAATACAGAGGTCAGGGGCACGGTGTGGTTAAGGTAAACGCTAGAGGGACAGTTCTGGGACAGAAGCATGGCTACTCACCACACGTGAGAAGGGAACAGCACTTTTAGTCAGTCAGCGTGACCAAATCGATCTTTAGCAGAACTCTACACTGGAGGAGGATGGTGTAAATAAACCCTGTCCACGTCTCCCCAAGCTCAGCTGCACATCATAACTTACACCGGCATTCCTGATTCACCGTCACTTTACATATTCACGACGTCTATATATAAATACACGAGGTTCTTGACACAAGGAAAAGAAAGGATGCTCTGAGCACGAATGTCTAGTAAATACACAGGGCAGGCGAAATCAGCCTACAAAACAGCAAGTTTCATTTTGGGGGCAACAGATTTGGCTAAAGCAGTGCCGGACAGGACAGCGGACTTATACACTCCTAGACGGAGACATGTGTCCTGCAGTTTCTTAATGCTGGGTTCTTTACAGAAGACTACTTCAAGTAAAGGTATTTCTTTGTAGAGAAGTGATGTGCGGGCGTGGGAAGAAGCAACGTGGGGGCAGCCACCGTGTGCTGGGCACAGCTGGCTCTGGCGGGGAGCCGAGTGTGGGCATTACCTTTAACGTCACGGTGAACTATGCCATGCTCGTGGAGGACATTGATTGCAACGGTGATCTGCTTAGAATACAGCCTGATGACGTGCTCCTGAAGTCCCAGCCTCGACACCTCCTCTAAGGTACCCTCGTCACAGTACTCCATGAAGATGTACATTTCTTCCTGCGGGAGGAATCAAATGCAGCCTTGTGTTTACGTGGACACTAAGTGAAGAACCTGGAATGCTTCACTGGCCACACCCCAGAGGACTCTCCTTTCTAATGGTATGCTACACTTGCCATCCTGAATACTGAATTTGTCTTAAAACGGTCATTTCTAACTCCCCTACAGCCGTGTCTCTGCCTGCCTCCTCTGTCTGGAATTATACAGCTAGTTGGGATAAGAACATCTCCAACTCACAGGTGATAAATGTCTATAATCCTCTGAAATTCAGTCCGCTCTATAATCTCAGACAGGGACAACAGGGCCGTCCCTATAAATATATTATCAAGTACTGAAACACATCCTTTTCAGATATGAATTTATCCGTGAAAAACGTAAAAAATCACCAACATCCAAATTCCCCAGAAGCTCATATTCCACCAAGATGCTCCAAGTTATCCTCTTTCCCTCAAAGTGTTTATCTCTAAACACAAGGGGGAAAATCATCTGAGGTCTTAATTTTCTCTCATTTCACAATGGTTCCTTAAATACATATAAGAGAAAAAGCATTACCGAACAATGTACTCAACAGTGGTTCAGTAAAAAATGGAAGAAAAAAAAAGCGACACACAGCTGTGTAAGGGGCATTAGAGAAATCTTCTGGTTGGCAGGATGGGTTTCAGTGCTTTATAATGTCGGGTTAATGACTACAGTCTACAACTTACATTTTAGGAAGAACTCCTCTAGTTTCAGAGAGAAGGCAGAAATGATGTAACTCATGGAGATTTCCTGATAATTAGGCAAAGTTACTGTGCTCTGAAATGAGAAGACCTGTGATGTAGGACAGGACTCCATCTGTGCCCTCACTGACCGCTCACACCAAACAGTGTGATCAAAGTTGGCTTACCCTATGCAGCTCCACACCAAAATACCGAACCAGATTGGGGTGCTTGATGCCTTCGAAGATTTTCAGTTCGTCTGCCGTTTCCTTGATAGTTTTGTGGTCATTAGGTTGAAAGCGAATCTGGAAAAGGAAAACTGTTGATTACTGTTGGCAATGTCACAAGCTAGAAAGACGCCGACTTTGAATGCAAGGGCTGGGATGCTGACATGTCCACTGTCCAGCCCCATGGCACCATGGTCAGTGTGTCTGTGACTTCACTGCCAGGCTTTCTCCTCCTTGTTGAATTAAACACGCCTGCTTTAGAATATGTGGTCAGATAACAGCTAGTGGGATCATTTTCATAAGTACAGACTGAATTAACCAAAACATGAAACATTCCTGTGATTCAGGAAGCAATCACAGGTGTTTAGGTTCTGGGCAAGATAAAAAGAGGAGATAAGATTCTGCCCTCACGAAGTTTACAGCCACGCGGGGATGAGGCCATAAAGCAGCGCGGGTAAGTGCCACACAGGGAAAATGGGGAGATGCCGCAGGGGTTGAGGAGGGGGCCACATGTGCCCGCTGCCCCCTCACAGCCACTCGGGGACCAACGGTCGCGCGGCTCTAGCCTCACCCTCCATGGCCCTCGGTGCCCCCCGCCGGGGCCTTCTTCAGGCGCTCCCTGCTCCTGCTTTCTACCTCCAGCAGATAAAAAGCTGTTCGTTTCTGAACCTTATCACAAATCCCACCCCCAACCCCGCTCAAGTCCCCTCTTGGTCCCAATGGTGTAAATGCTAAGAAGCAGACCTCAGGCCTAGACGACTCACTATGGAAGCACTTAGGCCAGCTCTAACCTCATAAACACAAGTTTCGCTTCCAAATCTCTACCACACGGAGGCCTCAGACAAAAACGCGCCCAGAGGGCTGGAGCACCCACCTCCTTCATGGCCATCAGTTCACCGGTGTCCACGTTGATACAGGTATAGACCTTCCCATACTGCCCTTCCCCTGTGAACAGGAACAAATGAGCTGCTCTCAGCCACCAAAGCCAGGCCACTGTAACTCATTGAAACGTACAATAATCTCTTCCAATTCCAAATCTGTATTCATATATCTATAACCATGCTTACTGTAGTCTACTACTGCAAGATCTAAACTGTTTCTGAATGTTCCCTAATAACCGTAATAACTGAAGTCTTAAGCAATCTTTTCACTATGTCTTACCTGTAAATGCCTGTGAATAGAGTAGAACTGACTGGCAAATCCCAGAAGAGGCATGAAGGTGAGTACTACGCCCCCTAGTGCACACCTCTGAGCCCCTATGGCCCTCAAGGAGGTCTGGGCGATGTGGGCGGGCAAGGCTAGTGGCCAGGAGTAAGCCTGACTGTCGTCTCAATGCATCTCATTGCTGTATGGCCAGGCGTGTGGGATATTAGTGGGATATTCTACTAACACTCCTTTTGGGACATTAAACTAAGGGGATATATGGCTGAATAAGACTGAAAACAAGAATTAATACAATTTATAAAGGACTTGATTCTTTTCAGTGTGTCTTCCCTGATAGCTCTACGAAAACTTCAATGTCCTGAGGCTCCCAGAGTCTTGTATTACAACTTTGTTTGCTTCTTCAGACCTAAATGCTCAACAGATAAATGCGTTTATTTATTTTTAAATGAGAGTTTTGTTTTTTTTTAATTAATTTTGGCTGCGTTGGGTCTTCATGGCTGCACGCGGACTTTCTCTAGTTACGGCGAGCGGGGGCTACTCTTCATTGCACTGCGCAGGCTTCTCTTGTTGCAGAGCACGGGCTTAGGTAAGCAGGCTTCAGAAGTTGTGGCACGCAGGCTCAGTAGTTGTGGCACATGGGCTTACTTGCTCCGCGGCATGTGGGATCTTCCCAGACCTGGGCTCAAACCTGTGTCCCCTGCATTGGCAGGTGGATTCTTAACCACTGCGCCACCAGGGAAGTCCAGATAAATGCATTTAAATGGGGGAAAGATCTGAAACATAATCATCTCCTTCTCTCACACAATCTTATCACTAGTTATTTTACAAGAAACTGTTTCACTTGGAAATTAACTGATGTTTTAGAAAAGACTGTCCTGTCTTAATCTGTATCCAGTCTCGCTTCAATAATGATCTTGTGGGAATAAGATAAAAAGAATACAAACTAGAACAAATGGGTAAAAGTTGCGTGGCTCTCCACTGGCAACTTCTGGAGTTATCAGGCTTTTAAAACCATTCCATTGAATGAACCACTGAAAACTCTCTTTCTAAAGTCTCTTTTGTATTGTTCTTAGAAAACACTTTACAAATGAAACAAAAAGCAAACCCCTCTGCAAAAGATACAATGTATATTTGCCACCTCCCTAAGAGAAAAGGACCAACCATGTAAGATTTAACCTAAAGAAGTGTAACTATTGCTGTTTCTAACAGAGACAATCTTTGTGTCATGTTCTTTAGTTTCCTTACCAATTTTGTTTCCTCTTTGCCACTTAAAGGTCACCTTCCTCAAGCCAACGTGCATAACATTGTCATAAGACTTAGGGGTATCACAAACTTGACCAATGATATTCTTTCTCCTCATTTCTCGATATCTCTTTTCTTCAAACAGTCGGACTGACTTCTGAATAGCTTCTATGGGTCCTTGCCTAGAAGCAGTATCTGCAGGGAGAAGTGCAAACTCAGTCGTCCCAACCACTATAATCAAGTCAATTTCCAGCAAATAATAATAAAAACAGAGCAACAGACATTAGCACTCCAGCACAGCATTATCTATTCAGATACACAGCAGGTGAATTAAAGTCCATCAAAACCTAGCAACTTCAGAGTATACCACCCACTACAGAAATACGCACATAAAACAGAAGCTACTCAGACACAATCAATGATTTCCTGTAGCAAGAGTGTTGGTCAGACTCTGCAGGAACCACCCGCCTGTCTCCTCTCTCCAATCCGCTCTCAGTGACCAGAATTCTCTTACTAAAACGTAAAATCGGATTGTGTTCTTTTCCCGCATAATTTATTTCACAGTTCATCATGACCTGTTTACCGGAAGTCCGAGGCCACTGTGCATGCAGGCTCCCTTCCCGGTTCCCTTCTCCTACAACCGGCTCTGGACCAGCCCAGCTGAAAAGCCTCTGTGGGTCACCCCAAACCGCTTCTCACCCCATCCCCTTGCTCACACTCTCCTGTCTTCTCGCTGTCAGAGCTCTGCAGAAGTACTACGCCTCTTCCAGGAAGCGTCTCTGTTGGGAAGGAAATTAAGTTTTCCTTTCTCTAGAGTAAGGGCTCTGGAATCAGAATCCCTGGAATAAAACCCTGGCTTCACCATTTGCTAGGTGTTTGACAATCGGCAAGTTAGTTAACTTCTTTATACATCAAATTCCTAATCTGTGAAATGAAGGTAATAATACCTCATTCAGAGATACTGTGAGAATTTAATGAAATCACGCACATAAAGCATTTAGCCCAGTGCCCGGAATATTAAAATATTTAGTAAATTTTAGCTATTGTTATTATTATTCCTTATTTTCCCATCAAGCTATCTCTATTTCTCCAACATATTTTATCATGATTTACAGTAAGAAATATCTTTTACGCAAATAGATATCTAAAACGACAGTTTCGTGAAACACTATTACTCTTTCTACATGTGACTAGGATTCTGTCCAGTTTTTTTGTTTGTTTGTTTGTTTGTTTGCGGTACGCGGGCCTCTCACTGTTGTGGCCTCTTCCGCTGTGGAGCACGGGCTCCGGACGCGCAGGCTCAGCGGCCATGGCTCACGGGCCCAGCCGCTCCGCGGCATGTGGGATCCTCCCGGATCGGGGCACGAACCCACGTCCCCTGCATCGGCAGGCGGACTCTCAACCACTGCGCCCCAGGGAAGCCCTGTTTCTTTTTTAGTGCTGATTTTACAACCCACTAAAGGGTCAAAACCCATAATGTGAAAAGCACTGCTTTCTTTACATACATCTCCACTACCATATTTCTCATCCTGTCCCCTAACGAGCCATCTGAGAGCCTGAATTTTCTGTCTAAGAGATCACTGAGGACTGTGATGGCTGAATGGTTACTCTGAGAAGAGAAATTCCCAGAGATTTATAACGGCCCAATTACAGTGTCTGACTACAATCATTTCTTAAAAACATGGATCCTTGTTTCCCTTACCTCAGTACATGACACATCGCGTCTACTCAGCATTGAATAAGATTTCATAGCTGTGAGGTCATGGACTCCACTGTCAAATATTTCTGGGAAAGGCCTATTTTTTTTTTTAACAGTAAACATTTCTCAAGATTTCCCAGTCTTTAATATGTCAGTGTCAACTGTAACTCTCCCAGGAGTTCCCAAATTCACTTGACAACGAAGTATTTGTTTTGAAAATTATCACAAAGACCTGGTATCCGTGGGACCTACCGGTTATGTGAGAGCCCCTGGAGGGACCCTCTGCCCTGTCACCAGGCTCAAGCTGAGGAAACCTCCGCCGACTCCTAACCCTCTACCGCACCTATAACCTGCCCAGGCCTGTCAAATGTGGCATCACAGCTGTTTTTGCTTCCATGGCTTTTTTAAAACCCCACCTTAGTCCAGCATCTTATTTTCCACTGTATCACTACAACGGCGTTCTAGCCCTTCTCCCTACTTTCCTCCCCAATTCAGGCCAGCAGGTTAAGCTTCCTCAGTGTCCTTCTTACCCACACCCTCGCTCTCCCTGAACATAAGAGGCTTTCCAGCTCAAGAGGCTTCAGGGGCTGCCCACCATCGCTGGGTAAGGCCTTAATCACCTAGCCCTTTGCTGAAGACTGGCCGTGATCAGGTCTCCCCTACCCTTTCAGTTCCACCTCCATTTACATCTACGCTATCCAGGTCGGGCCGGGCCAGGCCAGGCTGGCTGGTCTGTTCTTCAGTCACTGGGCCTCCAGATGTGTTTCTCATTGGGTACTTCTCCTCTTGGCCTGAGGCAGACCTCTTTCCTTCAGGGGCCAGCCCAAGCCTCAGCCCTCCCTGGAACCCCTCCTGAATGCTCCAGGCCCGGTGATGGCTCTTCTGCTGCTCAGTTTCACACTTTTCGAAGGGGAGCTGTGGTGGGAAGAGCCCGGCCTGAAGGCAGAAGGGGTGCAGTCTGGTCCCAGCTCTCACTTACGATGACCTCGGCCAAATTATCTAGCCGCTCAGAAACTTCTATCATTTACAGAAAGAGAACAGGTTCTATCCTGCCCATGACTCAACACCGTTGTGACGAAGAGTATGTGAGAGCATTCTGTGCTCGACCACGGACTTTTCTGCTGTTTATTCTTCGGGTTTACATTGATCACTTCTGGTTCATACTGATGGACTGCTTTATAAGATGAATGCTTTCTCCAGCTTCTTAGCATAAGAAATACATGGCTACTCACTTCGCAAATATTTATCATATTCCTACCATGTATAAAGAATTATGCTAAGGGCCCACCCAGGTGACATATGAAATGAACCATCACTCTGCTTAAAGAATACAAAACTGAGTAAAACGTGTTCCTGCTCCAAGGGAGTTTGTAAGAAATAGGAAATGCACACAAACACATCACAGACAGAAAGTGATGTCAGAGGTCTAAAAAAGATCACAAAACATTAACGTAGAAGGTCTAATAATTCACAAGCTAAAGCATATTTCAGCTGAAACTGCTCACCTTATGCTTAAACGTGTTAAGTTCAACATTCTTTCTCTTACCCTTAGTCTGACTGATAAGTGTCCGAAGTTCCCAACTTCTTCGAGTTGACCCACTTGAATCACCTTTTGGATATGCTGGTTCTGCAGAAAGTATTTTTTCATACAAATTAAGACTTATAAAACAAATAAGCTTATTTAATTCAGAACAAGACTGAAATGGTGAGTAGCGATGATTAGTTACCATCAACCTGTCATTCCTGGTGGTTAATTTCTGTTTGAGGTGAGTGTGAAAAGCTGTCTCTACAATCATTTATAGCAAATTTCACCAAGCTAAAAAGTTGTTAATGGAGTTACAGGACTTTAACCACAAAAACTTTCCACAAGTAACAGACCTTAGACTACTGAGCAGAAACTGGTTTCTTTGGGGGCCCCCCTCCCGAGGCCCTGCCCAGGAGCCCAGCAGAGCTACAGCAGGAGCAACCATGTGGTTTCTGAGCAAAGACTCCTAGTTCTGCATTATAATAAAACTTCAGCATATCATTAAAAAGCACAGTGCCACTTTATTTATTTATTTATTTTTGCGGTACGCGGGCCTCTCACTGCCGTGGCCTCTCCCGCTGCGGAGCACAGGCTCCGGACGCGCAGGCTCAGCGGCCATGGCTCACGGGCCCAGCCGCTCCGCGGCACGTGGGATCTTCCCGGGCCGGGGCACAAACCCGTGTCCCCTGCATCGGCAGGCGGACTCTCAACCACTGTGCCACCAGGGAAGCCCCACTTTATATTTTTAAAGTGAATAAGCGTGCTCAACAATTAAAATATCAGGAATAACAACTTTTTAAAATTATTTAGCAACAAAAAGAAAAAATGCAAATATAGCTAAAAAGGCATTAAAAAGCCAATGTGTTCAGCACTAATCCTTCTCACAGGGCTCTGTCGCTCCTTTACTTCGTTTCTTTTAAAAGGCCTTAACAGCAGAAACTGGTGGGCTGAGACAAACGGTTGGGCTGACTGGAGATGCAGGGGACACCTTACACACTCACCATCTCGCTCCTCGGTGGGGCTCGAGTGACGACTCAGGGACCTAAACTGCAATTCGGCCGCTATGGAAGCCAATCGATCATTCTCAGGGACGCTGGAACCCCTGTTTTAATATTTTTAAAAATTAAGCTATCAATTCAATGGAACTCAAAATGAACGATCTGTGAGATTCTTCCAGAGCAGTGATTCTAAACTGGGGGTAACTTTCCCCCCCAAGAACACCTGGCATCTAGTGGGTAAAGGACAACACAAAGGACAGTCCCAAACCAATAATTATTCTCACAAAGTAGCAGTGCTCCTACTGAGACACCTGTCCCTGGAGTTTGGCAGGAGAACGCATGAGAACCTGACTGCATCCTATATCGTTTTATGTTAAAAACAGCAACAAAAATAAAAACAGTATTTACTGAAGTGTTACTGACATGTGCTGAAAGTTCCATAATTTAAGCCCAGGATGGATAAAAATTATGAGCCAAATCTGGCTAATATTTAAAATCATCACATTCTATTTATGTACTTAATTCTGTTTGAAGTGCTAAAATCATTACATGATTCAAAGAGCTCAAATCTCTTAACGAGCAAATGTAAGGGAATACCTAGCAATTTCTCAAGCAGTAGGCAAGCAAAAGTGCAGAAGAGCAGGAAGCTTAACATATAAAAAGGGCAAAGTTACTTTGCTGCTTTTCCAGAATAAAGTGTTCAGCAATCCAGAATGAATCCATAAAGATTAAATAAAGCCCAGAATTAAATAAGGGAAAGTGTTAAAATTATAATTCAAATCATCCAAAATAAATACAGTGTTAGTCTATTAACAAGTTTAGTGCATTTTTTTTTAAATGAATGATATAATGAAGTATGGTAGCATTTATGCTCTTTTTTATTATAGACTGAGTAGGTTTAAAGCAACATGGTCTACTGGACAGACATTCACAAATTATGAAGTATGCACTGCTTTGTTATTTCCCTAAACTCTCAAATCTGGTATAGTACTTGCTAAGTCTGAAGTGAGGGGGGATACCTTCCACTGCCATTAGTTCATCAAAGAGTCTTGGCACTGTTTCCTGGAAAAACCACTGATGCTGAACTGAAGAAACACATCCCACTCCTAAGCTGTGCCAAAGCCTGGGACCACGGAGAAGCCACTCAACATTTCTAGTTTCCTGATTTCCCAGAGAGAAGATTAGCCAATTCGACATCCTCACATTTTTGCCAGGGTAACAGGCAAGAAAACACACTGAGATGAAGTGATGCTCGGGTGAACGTTTAACAACCAGTTGCAGGGGGAGCGGCAGGGTATAGACTTCAACAATTTCCGTGGCGTAACAACTGGCTTGCAGGATTCCTGAAAAATGAACAATCAGCTCTTGCAGACCAGTAAGAGGCAGCTCCAGCGAGCAGAACACTGCAAAAATGTTTTCTAAACAACGGTAAAATAACTGAAGCCCAGACTATTTCCTAAGTCAAACTATATCGAATCAAAATATTTATCAGAAGCTGTGGAGCAAAGTAAAATTTCACTGTGGCTGACGTATCTCTAAGACAGGCAAGGGCTGCACACACGCCTGCCGACGTCAGAAAGCGCAGGTACCACCCTGCCTCCTCACAGCCTGTTCACGGCCCAAGGCTGCTCGGAGACCCCGGCTGAGGGGCACGTGTGGCCCCTGTACAGGCGCGGGAGGCTGGGCCACGGGGTTAAGGCTGGAGGCGGCCGGGAGGCTGACAACCCGCGGCTCTGCACGCCCTCACGGCTCTGCTGTTCTGTACCTACGGCCACACACACCGCCAGGAAGGACAGATCACTTTACTCCTCTGTGAACAAAGGCCTTCAAGATGGCATGTTACAATGGAAGCAAAATTTCTAAATCTCAAGGATTGTCCTAAAGCATAAACGAAGAACACTTCTGAAATGCTGCTCAAAACATGCTGAGAAACTACGTAATGCAAAGCCTGGGGGACAAAACGCGGGGAGAGGCCGACTGCAGGTATTTTAACTTCTATACTCAAGTACATTTAACGCACACACCACCAACGTATAAAAGCCTCAACCAGAGTTCACGAAACCTCCTGTTCTGGGGAAACTGCGTGTGAACCAGTCCCGGCTGAGTGTCCTCCTCAACTATGACCGCGTTTTAGGGCACATCGCTTCCCTTACTGCATTAAGAGTAAAGACAGTTTAACCCCCCGCAGGGACATGAAGCACATGTGGAAATGTCTGCCGTGAAATGTTCTAAACGTGAGAAGCAGAGGGTAAGTGGGAATCTGTTCAACGTTAATTGTTAATTTTCTTAGTGGACTGCTTAAGCTGTAAAGTACTTCAGCATTTTCTTTAGGTTATAGACAGTTGCTAAAAATTAGGAATATTAATTATTTTAGTGAATGAGAGAAATGGAACTATCTGTAGAAATTTTAGACTGTTATAAACTAAGTCTAAAAATATTTTAGTCTATTTGAAATTCTAAAAGCATGTGTCATGTTTCTGCCAACATACGAATATTTTTTCTTAGGAGCAGGATACAGAGCTCTGAGTTCTCTCAAAATTTCATCTTTTTTGGTCAGTTTTGCTCGACTCTATCATCATCCTTATGGGAAGATGAGAATAGTGACGGTGCCCATTCTACCAGGCACAAGGGGGGAATTAAGAGCCACCAAATGTCCTTTCTCCATTAAGCATATGAGACCTCGATGAAATCCTCTACCCTCCCTGCCCCCCACCCAAGAAAAACCCAGCCAGAATGGGAAGAACTGCCGCAGCCTCAGTACTTCTACAAAAGACTTCATGCCAGAGACTTAAATTTTTCCGGAGCCTGCCAGACATCTGACAGCTCTCTCCAGTAATGATCTGGTCTCCATATGAGATACAAACCACATGAGCTCATTTTTCCACTACTATAAACCACTTCTAATCAACAACTGTATAAATTAGGAAACCGAGTGAGAAAAGTAATCCTCTTAGAAAAACAAGTCACCACCTAACGGTATTACCTAGAAGTCACCTTTGAGCGACTCCTCAGAAACTCCTCAGGAAAGGCACTGTTGGCCAAGACTCTCCTATCAGTGGACCGGGCCCTTTCCCCTGGCACTCTCTTCATGGGTATTATGAGCAGAGACTCTGGCCATTTTGGTTAACATTCGTGCCGAAGAAGCGTAAACATCAGGCAGATTACCGACTTGGGCTGGAGCCTTGGGACCACGACCCCCCACGGAGGGCCCCTGCGCGCCACACACCGCGGGGAAGCAGGCCCCACGTGTCCCGGGACACATCCCCGAAGCTGAGGTCACGGCGGCCGCGCACCCGGGGGCGGGGGGCGGAGACGTGGCGCTGGTCGGGAGACTACCTGGTCTCATGGGCACTGCTGATGGGTTTGGGTGGCGCAGAGTCGCTGCCGGAGGGGCCGGGGCGACCGCTGGCGGCGGTGGCAGTGACAGTGGCAGCGGCGGGGCTGCTGAGGCTCCGCGTGTCCGCAGGCACGCTCCGGGTGCTGGGAGGAGAAGAAGAGCTTCAGGAACACAGGTGAGACAGCGGATGGGCTCTCACGTGGTTTCCATTAAAAATAAAGTCGGGCGAGGAAGCCAAAAATAATTTTCAAATATAAAATGCAAACTGTTCTTTGAGATTCAGGTCTAGGTATGAAAAAGAAAAATAACTAATTTCGAACTAATTATTTTCAACAATAATTGTGGTCCTTTCCTAGCAAGTAATGTAAAAAAAATAAACTTTTAAAAACTGATTATACAGGGGAGAAAAGATGCTCACTACTTCAAGATGCAGAAATGCCACCACATTCAAAGTAAGTATTTTGAATGTACTAGAGTTTCCGAACTCACTTTAGAATTTAAGTTGCTTCGTAGTTACATACACACATAAAAGTCAAGACTGGAAGGATCACTCCAGTTTTTTCTCCACTTTTAAAATGACATTTAGTTCCTTTTTTCAAATGTTCACCATGCTATGCACACTCAAATTTGTTTTCCTAAAGTTATTTTTCAAAGAAAGGAAAAGAAAGAATTATTCCAAAGCTGGAAAGCATTTAGTAGCTTGAGGTTATAAATAAGCTGAGAAACTAAGTTATCTTGAAAGGTGCAAGTCTGTTTTAAACTTGCAGGTCTTCTTTTGTAACTAAGGCACTGTGGTACGTCTTCAAGATAACGAAAATAAGAGCTTTGTAAAATGTATAAACAAGAACACAGAAAACAGTATTTGGTATCAGAGCAAGCATCAGCAGCTCTTGGAGCGTCGGCACGCACATCAGAGAAGAATCCATAAAGCAAACAACTAGACAAGCACCAAATACCTGAATCCCTCTGGAGTTGGGATAATCAGATGCGGGTTAGGAGGGTCGCTATGGCATCGTGGTACCTTCACAGGACGGGGGCTGTTCCGATGAATGGCTGCCAGTGAAAAGAGCGACAAACGCAACTTGTTAAGGGGTCAGCAGGAAACTGTAAAACCAGGCAATTCAGTGGAAATGGGAGGTGGCTTATTTTGCTGGTGATCAAAATAAAACCATTTATGTAAGTAAGAAAATCGTACTACATACACAAATGCTGGGAAAATGTCACTTTTTGAAAGTTAATAAAATTATATTACACATTTTAGAGACAGGTGAAAATGTGGTTTCTGTGGCATTTCTCCACTAAAAGGTTCCTTATGTTGTCTGGACGTTTAAAAAGATTCTGGTCAGGGGTGATACTTCAATAGGTCCTGAGTTGGGGAGAGGTCACTGTCATTTTCCTGAGTACTGGGAGTTTTATTTAATTCCTTTAAACCAAATCAGGAGGATGGACACTGGTTTAAATTGATTATTCTTTTCAGAACATGTTTTCTTCTCTTCTTCTTTTAAATATTCTGGTAGAAGGTAAATATGGATAAGATTTAAAACAAAATTTAAAAACTAGGTACAATTTTAACCAAAATTTAAAAAGAGACCTTACCTAGCAATTACAAAAATGCTGACAATTCTACTTCCCCAATGACTAAATGTAACTAGTCATGGATATGATATATTTTGTCTATTTCTCCCTAACATGTTTTCCTCTGATTTTTAACTTTGTTTTAACCCTCCCTAGTTTTTTTTTTAAATGTCATATTTTCTCTTCACGTTAATAATTTTAGTCTACATATACATGTTTTATTCTAAATATGTTTATCCTAAATGAAAATACTTCTTCATGGTTTTTGTTCACTTTTAAGAACACTACACAGGAGAGAGAGGAGTACCAAAAACGCAGAGATCTGAAGGGAAAACTTGCAAAACAAAAATCAAGTAATTGTTATGAAGAAACCCAGGCAATTTGTATCTCTGGCTCATTATCTCAACTACCACAACCTTAAATGGAAGTAATTCAATAGGAAATTCAAAGGCAAAAAGAAAAAACAAAAACCATTTGGTGAGAATGCTGGTGTCTCTAATGCAGCAAACGTACTGAGAACTACTGAGTCAAAAATTACTAGAAAATTTTCCCATGAAGGCATAAAAATAAAGACATTCTGTTAAAACACACACACCCACGTTTAACATTCTTCATTCGTGAAACAGAACATTTCTTTTAAGAGCATGTATATCTAACCGCCACAACACCGTGCTACTTCATTGAAAAGAAAATCCAAATGGCCGATAAACATAAAATAGATGCTCAAATTTCACTAGTGGCGAACATTTATCATAGAGATGTTTTTCATGGCAAAACTAACCAAACAAATAAGGAAATGGCGGAAACAATTGTAGAATAACCACAATGGACACAGTGTAGCCACTAAAGAGAATGAATTGGATCTATACTTGTTGACATGGAGGGATTTCTACAATTGTCAGAGATTAATATCCAATGTGATCCAATTTTTATACAGTAAATGGCAGGAAAAAAAACAATGGCATCTGTGCTTGCATGGTTATATGGGCATAAAGAAAGGTGTAGTAGAATGCATCCGTGTAATTACATGAGTATACAGAAAATACAGAAGGTTCTATACCAGACTCTTACCATCTGCTTACAATGACAGAGTGTCTATCTACCCATCCTTATGAGGGTAGAGCAGAGGGAGAGAAAAGAGTAAGCAGCAACAACGACAACAATGTGCTCTCACTTTCATTGATTTCTCTCGTAAGGAAAGAGCACAAAACCAAATGATGACTCCTGCCATGTGTAGAACGCTACAATTTACAAAATGTCATTACATTATTGAACCCCCATTAGCATCTGATTTTAAGCATTAGTAGGGGAGGCGCAAAGATGTTCAGTGAGCAGCGCCAGGTCACTCAACTGCCAGGCAATCTGGCTCTCCGTCCAGTGCAGTTTCCACCAACCCAGTGGCTGGGAGGACGAAGGCCAAGTCGTGCCCACAGAGAGTGCTGCGAACCGACTGTCCCGCCCGCAGTGTGGGGCCAGGCAGAGTCAGCGGCTCACATGCTAGCAGTGACTACCTGTGGACTATGTGGGTATGAGGTTTTTTTCCCTTTGTAATATTTTTCTACATGTATGTTTACTACATACATTTTCTACGTTGTAATTTTTTTCTACAATGAAAATGATTCCTTATGTAATAAAATACTTCAAAGAAGTAATTTTTACTGATTATTTATCATTTTTCTTAGAGAAATATTTTGGGAAATCAGAAACTCAAAGTATTTATGATAGATAATACGCTTAATCAAAAGATTGATGAGAATATAGCACGTTTTATATAAAATGTTCAAATAGTTTTATAAATGATAACTTTCATTTCATTAGCAGCCTTGGGAGAAAAAGAGGTATAAACTGGGTGAATTTTAAAGATAAAGAAATCAAGCATTAAGACCTGGTCTACTAAACTTTCAGTAGCTAGCAAGTACCCTTTAAGATACAGCTGCTGCTCAATCAATTTACCATTCATGAATTATTTTCTTTTGTGTAAATGGAATGTTTAAAATTTCTAAGTTTTCATTTTTGGTTGTTTATTACATATAAATATAGTTTTGATTTGGTTTACTATCTCAAGAATAGGGTAAGACAGCCGTTTTCTGATACATACTTTGTTTTAAAGTTTCAACATACACTGTAAAGCTACATATCAACTGGAACTGAAAACTGTAATTTAAGTATATTATAGCAGAACTTAACTTTTTTCTTTTTTTAAGTAACACCAAATAGGAATTGGGGGGGGGCAATTAGGAATTTTCTACGTTAGTGAGGATTGGGTACTTTGGAAAGCTGTGAAGAAAACAGATTCATTCTCCTTCAAAAGGTGAGAAAGGAAGGGCAGAACAATTATACTCACCCACCTGCAGCAAGAAAGGCCTTGCTTCTTACCAGACAACTATTTCTCTAAGTCTCTCCTCCCCAGGGGCAAAGAATTTAGGGAGGGGAGAACAGAATGAGAGTGTTGGTGTAACAAGAAAAAACCTGTAGTTTAATACTGTGGGCAAGCATAGATCACCTTGTGCTTGCATTTTAATCTTCCTGTTAAATTCAGCAAGACTACTGTGGAGTTCTCTGTGTATACACCTCATTCCTGTACCTTTCATTGTCATTTTCCTGAATATTCTTAGAGAACCTCTATAGCATTTTAAATAACTGCAATGATGAGACAATGTGCTCACCCAAACCAGTAGGTTCTAGGAGAGACGCTCTAACTGTTTTCTTACCAAGGTACAAACCTGTAATAGGACTGTGCGGCTTTCCTATTACATGGCCAATGCATTCATTCATCAGGGCTTGTAAACTCTAGAAACCAAAGGAAATGGAAAAGGAAAAGAGAAAAAATGTACACTCAATTATATAAGTCGCACAAATTAGGCTTTCGGTATATTTAAAAGAAAACAGGCTATCCTTAAGTAAATATTTTCAAAGTTAGTTTAAAAGAAAATAGGTATAAACATAAATCGTACATAATTTAAGATTATATACAATTCCACTTTTTATCAGCTCCCCATAATGCAATGATGTACACAAGCAAAGGACTCCTGTAATCTCCTCTACTATTTGGAGGCTAAAATGAGTGAATTCACATTTGAACAACATCTTTCTGATCTGATGGAATTTATCTGGATACTGGTAATAATATTTAACATTTGCCATTATGCTCTATAATGACGCACACTGGACTTGCCTGGCGGTCCAGTGGCTAAAACTCTGTGCTTCCACTGCAGCGGGCGTGGGTTCAACTCCTGGTTGGGGAACTGAGATCCCGCGTGCTGCACGGCGACTAACACTGAAGTGAAACAGCTATTCCTTGCTCTTCATGGAGCTGCTAAAAAGCAGCGGCACTTTACAAAATACAAAACCGACACGTGTTTTGTAAGTGCCAGGCTGCACGAACAACCGTACACTGACGTGGTCAGCTGGACAACAACAATTGTTATAAAAAGAGCACTGAACGTCCTACTCTGCTATTAGTGCTTTAACCTCTCGGCATTATCATGACAATTATGTGAAAATATTTCAGAACCGCTTTTAAATTAATAAAAAGATACACAATCAGAAATAGAGAGTGATCAACTTATTTGGGTTTTTTTTAAGGAAAAACACTTTAGAATATCCCATACCAGGAAGTCATCTTCTGGTAAAGCTGAAATGAAAGCAGGTTCAATGGCTTGCAGGAAGTCAAAACCTTGAGTTGCCCACCTGTCACGAGGAAAAGTTCAAGAGTCACAAAACAATCAAGCAAACGCCATAGTCATTTTAGTCTATACAATCCTGAAAAGTAATCTGATTGGAAAATTACCATCTAGGACAAAACACATTTGTGTCTCTGTCATCTGCCTCGTGTTGAGTAAGTGTACATCATGTTTTGAGAAAGACAAATAGCTTTTTAGTAAAGGAACAGGTTACCAATTTCTTTTCCATTTACACTAAATAAGAGGCATAAATTTCATGAAGGAGAAAAGAAGATTAGCAATCAGGAAGACCTGTCCAGGGAGAATGTGAACTGCTTAAAGATAACTCATTTTGGAACAATTACAAAAGAAAAAGCTTTCCAAGAGTTATGGGGGTTTCTATGTAAATAGGTTTGTTTTTTAAAAAAGGAAGAAAAAAACTGATCACCAAAGAGTTCAAAATGCTTTTTATGTCATCTGCTCAGAAATCCCACATAAAATATAAGAATGAAGTATCAGCAACCCCACATGGCTCATGAAGGAGCCATCCTACGTGGTCATTACCTGGGTCTTGTCCCTCTACCACTCTCACATTTAGTCAGGACGTAATTCATCCATTTCCGGGCAAAGCTTATATACTTGTCTCCTATCTTCTGTCTAAACTCGCCAGACATCAAACGAACGACTTCTTTATGATACTGTAAGAAGGTTTCACGTATATCAAGATTAAGAAGAAAACCATTACACAAATACCTAAACACTATAATGCTGTTTAAATGCCATTTTTCTAAAAACGAAAAGCAAAAGCCAATGAACTTTACATATTCTAAAAAGAGTGTGAAGAGTTATAGAGAAAATAATGTCTTAAAATGCAATTTCACAAATGTCTTCCTCATAAGTTGAAATTAAGAATATGCTTTTATGATATTAAACATCTCTTCAAGAAGGTTTTTAAATGTAAGTGGATAGCTGTTAACACAAAATAAAAACTGAGTAAATATCTGACAGTTTAAAAGTAACCCAGCATTTCTGATATTCAGCAGGGATGTAAGATGACATTCTTGACTAAGCTGTGATTACAATAATGAGATCATGAGATTTGCTGTACAAGATTCCTAATGCTTTCTGTAAGTAAGTTACAAAGCAATCGCAAAATTGTACTGTGTTTTTCCTCTTATTTTGTACCTACCTCGAACCCAAAATTGTACCCTTGAATCATGGCTTCTCGATAATACTGCTGCAATGTAGCAGATTCAGATTCATCAACTTCAGCGTCAAATTCTGAAGTGAACATGTGGTCCACCCGGTCAATGGCATCACTTATTCTGTTGCAAAGCTCTAATGCATCATTCTAAAGAATCCCAAACCATAATTAATCCGAAGTGAAACAAATCACACAATACTTATTGTATTTTAGAGGAAGATTTCTTTCATCATCACACAGACATTGACCATTGTAATATATTCCAGTCATATTTATTTTGGTTATTCAAAAGGAATGACCAAAAATAGAAAAAAAATTAGTATTTTCATTTTTATTTGTATTAGGTATTCTTAAAAACTTATGAAATACAAGAGGAAAACAGTCCATTTAAAATGTGATGCCTAATTACAAGGTGGTCTTTGAATAGATGCTTACAGCTTCGTTATTTCTGCCTGTCAACCACCAGTTGTTTTCTCCCCTCGGTGGTTGCTCAAGTGTAAGTACGGTTTCAATTCCACAGAGTGAACTATGATTTCTAAATGACCTCCACAGTGTTATTAGTCGTACTGTCCTTCTTATCCCCCTGCTCAGGGGTTCTCAACCGAGACCAATGTTACCACCCCAGGGGACACTGGCAACGTCTGGAGATATTTCTGGTTGTCCAAACATGGGGTGGGGGGGTGTTGTGAAATCTACTGGCATCTACTGTGCAGAGGCCAGGGATGCTGCCAGACATCTTACAACACACAGGGCAGCTCCCCCAAACTAAGAATTATTGACTGACCTAAAATGTCACCAGTATGGGGGTTGAGAAACCCTGCCCTAGCTCAAGCTTTGTTGTCTTCCCTAATTAATAGTACAACAGCTCCAAATTGGGTTCCCTTTCCACCCACCCTTAAACACACACCTTATGTACACGTCTCTATCAGGTAGTTCCTCTACATAGTATTCCAAAATATTCTTCCAAAATCTTTGACAATTCTCTGGGGCTTAGAAGATGACATCCAAAATCTCTCAACAGCCTGATTTTTGCCCACCTGATTTTACTAACCTCCTCTCTCACTACTTTCCACTGTATACACCAAGATCCAAGCAAATCAGACTGCTTGATATTCAGTGAGCCTTCTCATAACCCTGATCCTCAGACACCAATGCCCAAATGTTTCCCTTATCGGTCCCTTCCCAATTTGCATCTTTTGAAATACTCCCAAGCTGAAATGCCTCCATGGCAGCAATTCCCAGATGCTACTAGGAGGATCTAATCTCTCCCTCCTCTGTACCTTAGTGTGACAGTTTAGATCCTTAAGGCTACAAATTCCTTAAGCTCAAGAATAATCAATATCTTATATAATTTTGTACTCTCCAGAATTCATTAACTCAAACTAAAAGAAAAAACAAAAGTCCCCTGCCCTGCTATCTGAGTGGGGTGACAACCTGTAAGAAAGAATGTTTATAGACAAATAAGACAAATCAGATTGACAAAAGGAAAACAAACGTTTATCAAAACTACTTGTAATTTCAAGAAGTCCTTCTTCTTCAAGAAGTCAAGCCTTAATGTGACTGAGAAGACTGATGGGCTGCGGGAAAGTGTGCATGAGACCAAGACTGATAAATGGAGTGCAAAATAGGAAGCAGGTGAAAATGGGAAATAATGGCAGAGAAGGCAAGGCTCTGCCTTGTCACGAACTTGAAGGCCTTTCTGCCTGTCTGCAACTAGCTTTCTCAATTAATTTGACTGAACGAAAGAATAAATAACTCTTCTTTTAAATTACACATTTTTGACTTAAGGTGCCTCTAGTAAATACTGGTAATTGCTAAAGGAGAAATAAACTTGGATTAGGAATGAGGAGATCTAAAAGTCCAATACTAACCAACCACGTGACCATTAAGAAGTCATGTGACGATTCAAATTTTTATCCTCTCCAATTCTAATGTTACACAGTTCCAAGAAAGAGCCAGGAAATTTTTAACTTAGACGTGGGGAAAATGGGAAGAGAGGGAGAGTGGGGAGGACACTGTAAGAGTTCAAGTCCCTGGAGTGACTTAAATTATAACAAACTGATTCTTCCCTAGCATTACGCCAAACGTAAATAAATTAGTTACGGTAGAGTTGATGGTGAAGTACCTTCAGCTGCTGCAAAGCCCTGGCGATGACGGGCTGACTGGATGTCTGCTCCTGGCGTAGCGTCATGAGTCCTTCAGTGGACTGCTGGAAAGTTTTTCTGTGAATTATGAGATGCGCAGACTCCATGACAACTAGTAAAAGATTATCCACCTGGGAGGAAAAGCAAGCACAGGGCTTAAACACAGACCCACTTAGTTTTCCACTCTAGTTCAACCCCCAGTCCCAAAACAAGACCAACCTCAGGGCCACCAGGCCAGCAACCATCTGATCAGAAAGTAGCTGTCAAGCACAGCTGCTCCCATGGAGCAGCACACTGCAGGGGGCACTGACGGTTCTGATCTCCAGCGCAATGGGGAGGAGTCCCACGGAATTATGTGGGCATGAAGTCTTTGAAGTATGCTAGAACTCCAAGAAATTCATTACTCCTGGAGCAGAGTGTGTGCTTGTGTGTGTGTTGAAGCAGCATGTGGAGATAGAAAATGCAGGAATAAGAGTGGGATGAGATGAGGGGCCTTGCATGAAACAGAAATCAAGACTTTATTATTTGTATTCTTGAAGTGATGGTCATTGCAGTATTTTGAGTAGACCTGTGATGAGATGTATGAATTATAAGGATCATTCTGGAAGTACCAAAACAAGCAAACAAATACAGAATTGGAGGGAGGGAAGGCGAGGGTTGAAGCAAGGAGGGACCTGCAACAGTCCAGGAAAGGGATGATAAGGTCTGACCACGGCAGCTGCTCTGGGGATGCAGAGAAAGGCTCATTTACTAGAAAGGCTTTGGTGCTGGGGCTAGTGACTAAGTGGAAGTGGGGGGGAGGCTGAAATTATATGAACCGTCACATCCTGGTTTAAACAACTGAGTGGACAGAGCACCAGTCACTGAGACAGGGAATACAAGAGAGAAGGCAGATTCGTAGAGCTGAGGGGACAGTTGGCCAGGGTGCCCAGCTCTGGTCTGGCTGAGTTCGAGGTGCACGTGTGCACTCACCACCGCTGTTCCAGAGCTGAACACAGAGGCATGAGGAGGCTTCTTACAGTTTGAATTACTGAGTTACACAGATTGTCATGGGATCCCTGTTAGGTAGGCAGGTGAAAACCTTGACTACAAAAATGAAAACTTAAGTAGCCAGCAAATCAGAGTACTTGGAGAACTGGGATTTCTGGAACTACAAGTTAAAGGAGTAGATAGCTCCCTTCAGGTCAGGGGTGGTTGGATCTAACTACATACATGGCTGCAGCAAGGAAAGATATAAATAAAACTTTTCAAATATTTTGGTATAACTGAACATACTTAAAGAATTTGCCCAAATATTTTAGTACAATAATGCTACAAAACTATCTATCAAAACATCAACGTCTATTTTGGGGAAGTGGATACTTGAGAATGCTTAAACCAATCATTCATGAGCTGCTAACAATTCCTTTTTCCTAAAAGTATTTTGAGTAAGCAATACCGCTTCCAGGCGGGGTGGGGAACGGTGGGGCAGGGACTGGGAGTGAGACAGACCTGCATGCTTCTCAAGGTATCAACAGTCTCCACCTGAGGCACAATTTTGACAGGCTGTGCCTCCCACGTGGCCCAGCTGCCATCTGAGTCCTGAGTGCGGTCACTATGCTTGGTTAGAAGCAGATAGGCGTCAATTAGTAGTTCGTAGGAGTCTTTCGAGCAGTCCTTCCCTGCGGCTGCGTTGAGTAGCTGCAAAATAATACTCTTCTCCTCAGCAAGGGAGTCTGGGACAAACACCTGCAAGTTTTCTAAGCCAGGAATTTGTACCTGGAAAAGAAACAATCCAAAATCTGGAATTAAAGAACACAGTATATTATAGAAATGTTATTTGAAAAACAAAACAGACCAAAAAAAAACCTAGAAAAAGTCAAGTGGGTTTGGGCAAGGAGATGTGGGAAAGGCATTAATTAGAGCTATGAAGGGAACGGCAAGTCCCGTCGTCCCTGGGCATCCACAGAGGCCTGGTTCCGGGACCCCCTCGGATACCAAAATCTGTGGATGCTCAAGTCCCTTATATAAAGTGGCGTAGTATTTGCACGGAGCCTATACACAACCTCCCGTATACTTCAAATCATCTCTGGATTACTTATAATACCAAATACAATGTGAATGCTAGGTAAACAGTCGCCAGCATGTTGCAAATTCAAGTTTTGCTTTTTGAAACTTTCAGGAATGTTCTTTTCCTAACTATTTTCAATTTGCAGTTAGTTGAATCAGCGACTGCAGAACCCGCAGATACGGAGAGCCGACTGTAACTCAGTTCAGTGTGACTGGAGGAGGGAGAGTGTGACTGTACTGGGGGAGAGGCTTGGTAAAGTTTCTCCGCATACAGGGAATCCTCCAGTTTCTTTATTTTCAACAACAAAGAGAACACTCATCGGGGGAAGAATGTCAGCCTGAAACAACCTCAGTGAATGCCACTGCAGTGCAGCTTTTATGCAAAACTGCTCCCGCAGAGCAACGCCCTGCAGTGGGCACTGGTGGCTAGGGTCTTCGGCACCAGGAACAGAATCCCAGGGGAGCATATGCCGCACGACGTCTTTGAAACAGAAAGTCACCTGACTCAGTGAAAGGCAAAAGATGTTAATACAGATCCACTAATTATTCTTGACGGGGGCACCGTAAAAAGCCTTTTAAAGATCACTGGAACAAGGGGTACATATGTGATTACGCTGTGCAAGTCACACATAAACACATGTGGGATATAACCTCCCGTGACATCATACACAGATTCTGAAAGTACTAAGCTCAAACAGCTTACATGGGAGCAAACATGGTGACTCAAAAAGTGGGTCTAGTGATGGCCAGGACACTGACGTCAAAGATTCACGTAGAAAATCCGAATTGTTTCAGGAAATGTGAGGGTGAAAAAGCAATTACTTAAAAGCAACACATTACGTTATAGACATTATTTTAAATATATATGTGTAACTAATTTGATAAATTATATTGTATGAGTAAGCGTTTGGGGTTTTTCTTCTGTATTCTTAAAACAAGTTAGTAAGTCAAGTATGAAAAACTTTTTCTAATTGTTGCATTGGGAAATTATGGGACAGCCTTAAAACTGGGGTCCACATATGGACTGCAAAGCCCAGAATATTTACTATCTAGACCTTTAAGAAAAAAGTCTGTCTGTTTTAGAGTAAAGTAAGAAAGGTAAAATAATTATGCCACCTTAAATACATACCTTAACGTACTGTTTTGATTTCAGGACATCCAGAAGGTCTCTAACTGGGGCTGAAAGTATGAACTCTGCAGCTATTTCCAGGTCCTAGGATCACAGTTACAAAGAAACTTCTTTAGGGTTAGCTTTTTAAAAAATAAAAGAAAAGTAAGAAAAAAATAATAATTAATTAGGATTGCTAACTCACCTTTCTCAGCATTTTAGCAAATCCAAGTGCTTTGGAGGCTCTTTCTCTAGCCTCGTGAAAGAGCTCCTTCAGTGCTCGACTGATCTCTATAACAGATCTCCTGCCAAGTTGATTGAAATCCAGTTAGAATACATTACGGTATGCCAAGAAATACACAACAATACAGATGAAGCAAATTCCAAATCACGTTAATAAAGACCGAAGATTTTAGAAGCTAGCAATTGTTGGGAATGGATTCATAATATTCAGAACCTTGCTCCCCACAGCTTTCTAGAAAGTACTTGTATTTTTTAAATAAGGAAGGCACACTTAATAACCTCCAAATAGGAGTATGCTCAATCTTCTAAAGGCTTCATTAGGATAATTCTTGGAGTTTGAAATAAGTCCTTGACTCCCAGCTCATAATCTAACTAAAAAGGAATATATATATATATAATAGTAGTGAACCAGCAAACGTTTAACAACCTGCTCCCCCCAAAATATTGTCTTGTGTGGTGTTTGCCGATTTTCATGGTGTGAATACTCCCATCACAGCTGTTTTCAATCCACCAACAGGACATCACTGAGCTATGACTTGGGAAGGGATGTGCACAAGGCCCGTGGCCTCTCTGCAGCCAGGACAAGTCAGCCCCACAAATCACTGCACGCGGACCCAGGTCTAGATCCATCCCTAGTAAACAATCAGGGCATTATCAGACCCATTCTCTACTTCACCATCTTAATTCTTGAATTCTCGTATTTTGAATCTTCCATGTTTGCGTTCAAAACTGCAAGACCTTCTACAAACTAATTCACCCCATTTCTCAGCTATTAGGTATTTTCCCAGGTGAGAGCCTATGTGGTCACTTCTTTCTCTAATCCTGGCATAAAGACATCCCAGTGTTCTGAAACCCAAAAATGTGTTTTTTATCAAATTTTGGAAAGTGAGAGAAAACATCTCTGGAGAAGTTAGTTCTGCCTGAGCACTTCCTAATGTTGACTCATAGGGTATTGCTGATAATTGGCCACTAAATAGCTATATGAGTATTACATAGGCCACAGAAACAGCACTTTAACATGGTTCATCCTCAATGCCATCTGCATAGAGTTGGAGGAAATGCAGTAGGTGTGCAAGCCATGGTTTCGGGTTCTCAAGCTTAGAGTTCAACAGAAGGGATAAGCTTAGTATAAAAACAATAAAAATGTACCAAATATCAATTAAATGTATTCATGGACTGCTACAGAGTCTTTAAAGGACAGAAACAATTATTTAATTAAAGACATTCCAGAACATGTGAACGAATTCTACCCTACTCATTTTTAGTCAACTTAAACAACATTTTCTCGAAGGACACTGTTTTTATTAGGCTAAATAAAAATCACCTTCAAAGACAATTTTACATAAAACCATAACTAAGGGATCATATAAAAAGACAATACAGTAGTAAGAAATAAATCCCTTTATGTCTACTACCCAAGTTCTTCAAGTCTAACATGATTTGGTTTCAACAAGGCTCATTTCAGGCTCATTACCAAGAATGAAACTACATGAGATAAAAAATGGGAGAGGAAGGAAAGTGCAACTTCAACCTTATTTCATCTGAAGCACTGCTGTCATCAGCACTGGTCCAGAACTCTGCGCAGCTCTCCTGCAAGCCGGATTCTAGAAAGCTTCCTGTAGATTTCAGCAGCATTCCTGCAATGTCACTAAGGGAACAAAACAACGAAAGTAAACCAGAGAAGAAAAACTGTCCTCACTCATTCTAATTCTTGAATGAGAAACTCAAAGATTCAGCTATTATTTTAATAGTTTAAAAATCAACGACAGTGAGAATTTTCTTTTAATATCAAATCACGATTAATGTGAAACAAGTAGAAATCTCTATTATGGCATGTATGTACCTTTGTTCTACAACCAGTTTTTCATTATAAACCTTACAATCTTAAATTACATTCACAGTAGCTATGTAATTATCACACAAATGTTATTTTCATCTTAAACAAATGTTCAAAATGGTGTAAAATGGCCTCAAATATATATCTACAACAAAGTATTTTTTAAAAGCTTAATGAACTAAACGATGGCGTAAGAAATAAAGTGAATTCCTTAAATGCAATTGTTTTTAAAAACTTCCCTCACAGTTCGCTTTCATAGTCAATAAACACGAACCACTCTAACCAGCTGACGCCTCTCGTCAAGTATACAATGTAAACACTAGGGTTAAAATGCAAGCCCAAGCGTACAAAATCAATCTAAATGAGTTTAGTAAAAACTCAACAGCAGCTTACTGGCTTCTATGAAGAAAAGGAGCTTATAACCTAGTAAAACAGAGCAGGTAAGTCTACCACCAACATCGGATGGGGCAGACGGTAACTGCTACGGGAGCTATCTGAGGAGCGAGATCAAACCCAGCTGAAGGTATGAGTTCAATGGGCCTTGCAGGCAATGCAGAACTGTAGCAACTACAACAGTGGGAAGAGTGGCTCTGACAGGAAGAGAATGGAGGAGGGGGAAGGAAGGTCCAGGAAGAACAATAAATATGATCAAAGGGCATGATGATGTGTTAAGCAAGAGGCATGTTTGTGAAAAGAAACTGTCAACCTGGAAAGAGCAAAGGAGGGGGAAATGAGACCAGGAAGGTAACCGGGCCGTGCTGTGGAAGGCCCTGGATGTCATGTAACTGTGTGATCGTCCTTTGGTAGGCAAAGAGGGTGGGCTTTAAAAATAACCGAGTGGGAGAATGTCCTGATTGGAAACATGCTTTTAAGAGCAGTAGTATACAAGGATATTCAGGATCAATTTATTCAACAAATATTCAGTATCTGTTATGGAGTAAGCAGTACTGAACAAACCAGATAAAATCCCTCCAGTGAATGGAGAAAAATAAATAAATAAAATTTAAAAATATATATATACAGTATTTCAGATACTGATAAGTTCTATGGAGAGAAATAAAACAGGGAAGAAAGCTAAGGTGTACTTGCAGGTAGGAATTTCAACTTTTAATATGCAGAAGGTAACACGTGGCCAAAGACCTACAGGAAGTGGGGAAATGAGTCATGGAAATAACTGGTGAAGAGCAGTCCCAGTAGAGGGACCAGCAAGTGCAAAGAGCCTGAGGACAGAGAAGGCCCAGCCTATGAGAAACAGGAAGGAATCTCCTGTGGCTGCAGAGTAAGCACAGGAGAACCTAGGAGGTGAGGACAAAGATTTACTGAAAAGTCAGACTGTACCAGGCCTTATGGGGCATTGTTTAGGCATTCTCACTTTAATTTGAGTAAGGAGGAGAGCCACTGGCATATTTGGAGCAGAGGTAAAAATGGTCTGATGTACATTTTAACAAGATCACTGAGAATAAACCATAGAAGATGAAGGGCAGAAGCAGAGAGACTACTTAAGAGAGCTACTACAGCAACACAAGAAAGAACAGTCTGGGAAGAGGGGAAATAGGCAGTGGTGAGCAGAGGTCAGATTCTGGATGTATTCTGAAGGGACAGCCACATGGAATTAGAGGTGGTGTGTGAGACAAAGAAAGGAGTCAGGGTTGATGTCACGACTGACCGAACCTGGGAGAAACAGTGTATGAAGCAGAACGTTGCACTAGCACAACAAACGTCCAAAACTAGAACAGTGCAGGTGGACAGTCCCAAAGCAGAGGCAATGCGAAAGCTCTGGAGCTTCTCAGAACACGCAGATGAAGCTGAAGGCCAGAGACTGCACTGAAAGGAACCTGAAGGACAAGCAAAAGATAAAAACAAAAAGACTGACAGGGTACAAAGTGAGGGTACAAAGAAATTATATAACAAGAATTGGTAGAGAAATGAAACAGTGACCTTGTAAAAAAATCTCCTTAACAAAGCTTGACAGCCTGAGAACACAAGATGCAAACAGAAGAAATTACAGGCAAAGCAGAACAATGGAAAATTAAGAGGGGGAGAGATGCTGAAAACGGTAGTGACTGCATTTCTTCATAAGGCTGACTATGAGAACCAATCTGAATAGGAAAACAGGACAGACTGGGAACCTCGGCCTGAAGGACTGGATGAGTCCTGAGACAAGAGCAAGTTCACTGTTCACTCAAAATAAAGACAGAGGAAAACATAAAAAGAACTGGTGGTTAGGGCAGAAAAGCGAATACAACATCCTGAGATGCTGAGCATGGAACAAAGACCATCCGAGTGAGGACAATGAGTTTCTGAAGTGAGAAGAGAACTCTGTAAAAGGTGAAGTCCTAAAGAGTGCACATAAAGGGAGGGGAAGGAAACATGAGCTGGGTATAAAAGAACTCATAAAATGGAAATGAAGAAATAGAATGGCTGATGGGGCAAGTGAGAGAAGGCAGCACCAAAGAACTGCAGCAGAGTTTAGAGCCAAGGAAAGGCCTGGTCCTCAGTCAGTTGGCAGGGGAGCGGCCCCCAGCAAACACCACGCACCCCACATTCAACATTCAGGTGCCTGTACTCGAGAAGATACATTCATTTCCTAGAACAGACAGACCAGTGAGCACTCCCCCCTCCCTAACGCTTTTCCTTGGTTTACGTTTCAATTCTTTCACCATATGTACATACCCAGTTTATAAAGAGATTCTGTGATTAGTATTACATTCCCCAAACAGTATCAGTGAAAATACGTACTTGTTAGGCTTTGGAAGTGCCCACCAAGACTGATACAAAAGGTCTACAGGTCTACTCCGCTTGTCAGAGGCCTTAAATTCTCCTCCTTTTGTATAACCAAGAGGGTGTATTCTAAGGCAGGATTTCTCAACTTCAAAATTGACATTTTGGGTGGATAATTTTTGTTTGGGGGGGCTGTCCTGTGTCCTGCGCATTGTAGTATGTTTGGCAGCATCCCTGGCCTGTTTCCACTAGATGCCAGTAGTCCCTCCCAGTCAGTACAATCAGAACTGTTTCCAGACACTGCCACATGTCCCCAGGGGGCAAATCACCCCCGGCTGTGAACCACTGCTCTAAGGATAACAAAACTTGGGAGAGGGGCACACAAAAGATATGAATGATTATCATTTTAATGTAACTAAACATTCAAACATGTAGAATAGAACTGGTGAGCAAACCAGGAGTACAAGTGAGAAAGGAAGACAGGCGTATAAGGATTCCTACCAGAAAAGTTTTCCAGCCTGTGCTTCTCCTCCCCGGATGTAATGGATTATTTCTTTGGTGAAATTCCATTCTTCTTCTAACAGATTCTTTAAACTATGAGATGCCTGAGGTAACTGCTGTAGCATTTGGATCCAGCTTCTCATGTAATCAAAATATACCTTAAAATACAAAAATGTAAAAGGAGATATTTGAGAATAGAATTCAACAACCCGCAACTTTCATCTCTGTTAACATGAAAGCTATAAATCAGAAGGGCGAGTGCAAGAGGGACCACTGAGGCATGAAGCTCTGAGAGAAGCGAGATTCTGCGTCGCTGCTGACTGACGTCTAAATGGCATTTTTCTTTAATTGTACGACTCAGCTCCTCAGCAATTTGACACAGTATTCACAATTGCTGCAGTTACTAAGAAGATAACTACAATATTCGCACTGTACAGAAAAGTACGATCAAGTTAAAAAGATCAAAATAGCATACAGAAATTTTCATTATTAATATATTGTGAATAACATTCCTTTAAGGGGTTGGGACCTTTATTTCTTTAATTATTTATTTTAACTTTAGATGGTATCTTACGTGTTAAGAGGAGGAAATGAGCACACTTCTTCCCACTATACCTTCCCGACATCCAGATGTTCGTGATATAGTTTTTCAAGGTTTATGACATATAGATTATGATCTATAACCAAAATACCCAATCTTTCTAAGGTGGGGTTTATGCCCACCACAAGTCCTCTACAACAGCTTTCCCAGTCCTAAATTCTTATCTTGATTTCTCTGTTGCTTAGCAGGGTTTTACTATCAAGGAGATTTTCTCAAGACAGGTTAACAATTGTTATATTATGAAACATCACTGTTTGTGGATTCTTTTACTGAAAGGATAACTTGACTGGGTATAAAGTACTTAGGTTACACATCCTCTCCCTCAGAACCTTGAAGACATTACTCCACTGCCTTCTAACGCAGCGTGTCCTGTTAGCATACGGAAAACTGATGCCACTAATCACCGCTCTCCCGGCTCCCTGAAGGTGGCTTCCTTTCCCTGCTTAGGTGTTTACAGGACCCTTTCTCTAGTCTTGGATTTCAATTATTTCACCAGGTTACATCTTAGGGTTCACTGAAATGAATATTTTCTGAGACCCAACAATAACTTTCAGTAGGCAAAAATCTGGGGTCTTTGTTTTAAGAAAACTGCCAATTATCTTTGGATAATTCTGGGTCCTCCTCCATCCAGGCTGTGCAGCATGAATCTCCAGTCCTGGGTCCACTATGAATACAGCTGTGTGTGTGGAACCTGCAACTTATGGGTCTATGACCATCTCATCCAAAGGAAACAAGTCTTTTGTACAGCGGGCCCAGGACCTCCCTTTCCATTCCTGGAATGCTCCTTCACCTCCTTGGCTTCCCTGAAACCTGGCTGTCCTGAGAGCTGCACTTCTCCCTGACAGCCCTCTCAAGGGACAACTATCTTACAGTATATCTCAAGGGCTGCAAACAGTCGGCATCCTCGTGCACCCCACTGCTACTTTCAAACCATCACTTTTACACAGTCTTACTTAAAAACACAACAAAAGAAATACCCTACCCCTTTAAGACTGATGTCATCAGATAGACCATCGATGCCCCCTCTGCACACCATCATCTGCTGATTTTCAACTACCCGTCAGTTGTCAGACTCCAGCCTGTGACTCAGTCTTCTCTCCATCCCAGGCTCAGCCACCAGCTGTGTGACTTAACATCAGGTGCACGACGCCCTGACACCATTTCAGTTCCGTTCCCCCATGGCCTCCAGTTCCAACCACCTTTTCTCCTCTCTGACAAGGTTTTGCTTCTGATCCTGCCAATACCAGAACCGCTCAAAGCCCAATTCAAACACACTGATGTTAAAACCTCCTCTCCTCGCTCCAGTTTGTTTGCCCAACTCCCCCCTCTACACTGTTCTCTTCACTTTATCTGGAACTCCAGTCCACTGGTTCCTCTTCTTCCTCCAACTCACTCCTCTCTTCCCTGGGTCCCTGTCCTCCTTATTCAGCACTCCTGTCAGTACGCTCATGTCCCTGCCACCGTCCTACACCCTGCCATTCCTGGAATGCTCACACTGCCTTTTCCCACCTGCCTGTCAAGACGAGCCCAGCTCCCTTCCCCATCCGCACAGCCCAGAAGCTGAGGGCCACGAGTCACACAACAGGGGGGAGTCACTCTTCTACACAGTCACATTCACCAACCACACAGCACACATTTCTGGTAATACTTGTACCTCTGCTCAGCTCACTTTCCTTCTCTCTACAACCACAAGTTTGAAACTTCTCCATTTTCCTCAAACTGCCAAAATCCATCCTAACCCACTCTCAGCAGATGACCTCGTCTCTCTTCACAAAAAAACTTTAAGTCATTAGATATAAAAGCTCTCATCGTCATGAAACAAATAACAGAAACCTACATGCTGTTACCTACCATCCTTCCCTTTTTCACAGTAGAGGAGCTGTGCTTCCTGCTAAGCCCAGCACTTGTGTTTTGAGACCCGTTTCCTCGTGATACCCGAGGAACCTGACACCATCAGTCTTCTCCTTTCTCTTATATATATATATATATACGTATGAGATTTTCTTTCATCTCTTTCCCTTAACAAAATCAATGCCAAAGGCTTTCCAATGGTCTCGGGTATCTTCGATTTAAAAAACTCTCACTGGACCTACCATCTTCACTGTTCATCTTGCTGCACAAACTGGACAGCCAGCAATCACTCCCGATACCTCCCCCATATCCAATCCATCCCTGAATCCTGCCAACTTCACTTGCTTCGCTTCTTCCAAATCCTTATGCTTTTTCCTAAATTTATGCTATTCCACTGCAATCCAGGGACTAGCGTGTGCACCACTAGACTAGTCTCTGCCTGGTCTTCTCCCATTGACTCTGGATCCCCCCAGGCTGTTCCTCTAACTGCAGCCACAGTGGTCCCTTCCCAAGGCTTTCCCGGGAACCTTCATTCCAAAGCTGCTTCCCTTATCCTGCATCATCACAGAGACTCTGCATCTACTCCCTTCTCTGTCAGAGAAGTGTTCCTTTCAATCTCTCTCTCGCTCTTTTTTTTTAACTAAAAAGTAAAGTGGCTTTAAAATATTTTTACAAATAATATCCAGAATGAACAAATGTTAATATTTGGTCATAATGGCTTTAGATATTTTTTCGATGAGAAATAATACATCACAAAGTTAATTTCTCCTTGGGTTCTTTCTTCACTTCTCTCTTTCCTCCCTCCTCAGAGGTAACAATTACGCATTTAGTATGTCCCCTTCTGGTTTATATGTTTTTTTAAATAATCTGTTATTACACAAATTACAAGATACAGTATTGTTTTGTGTAAGCTTTCAAATTATTACTACATAAATTGGATTATAATACACACAGCAACTTTCAGATAAATTCCAACTGTCCCTTCCTGAGAGACTTGCCTCACCGCCACATGAACTCAGACCTTACTGTGAGAGTCCATAAAAGACCCGTGTCTCTCCTTTGATGTTTTTCACCATTGTAACGTTATGTCTGTACAATTATTTAACAGTCATTTTCCCCATCGTTCTTAAACTCCAAGAAGGCGTTTATGCTCCTTACTGAACCTTCAGGACCAGGCACGATGCCTGCCTGGTACACAGCAGACACCCAATAATATCTCTAGAATGGAAAACTGAGTCTTCTCTGCTCCTCTGTCCTTTATTCTTCTATAGGGACACTAACTGTGCAAGTCTGAGCTCTCCCTTGTGTGTCTCCTGCAACTCTCACATCTTGTTCATCATTTTCATATTTTCACTCCTTTTAAGTTCTTTTTATGTGATTTCCTTCAATCTGTCTATCACATGTTCCTACATCACATACTATGTTTATTGTTTTAGTTGTTTCTAAAGGCCAGGGCCAGGGAAATGTGCTAAGAAAGCTCACAGCTTCCATCTGGTTTTGCTGGCTCAAACCAGTACTCACCAGTTACTTCCTTGGACGTAACTGCATGCATGAGTTCCTCCGTTTTTCGAGTCAGAAGGATGATGCAGCACAGACTAAAGACCCCTCAGTCACAGATACCCTGCATCATAGTTTGCTGATCACTGCTTCCCCTCGCCCTTCTAACCCATCTCTCACTCGGCGGTCTTTCCCGGCTTACAGGACAGGATACTGTCTGGCAGTATGTCCTCTATGGGGACATGCCCTACTGCCTCCTGACCATTCACACCCCAAGAGACCACAGCTCTCACTCGCCGTGGACGGGCCCTCCGCACCTAAAGGAGGGCAGGTGGAGCAGTAAACAAGGTGACCGCCTCTCCGAAGGCCACACGCTCCTTCCTTCCTGACAAAAACACTGACTTTGTTTGGGCTCCACCAGTTTGCAAACTATGCCCCTGCACTAATCCATCTAGCACACTTTGGGGCACAATTTTAAAACTATCGATAATTTCTAGTTCTTCATCTGTGAAATTATGGAGATGAACTAAGGCACATGATGCCTCACACAGAAGATTGGTAGCAGAGTCAAAACTAAATCCTAAGCATTTCTAGCTCTAACTAGCTGAGAATTTTGGTACTTCCCTTAACTGAGCCTTCTGACATCTCACAGGCACACCGAGGGCACTGGAGGTGGATGACCTGGAAGGCACAGCCTAATTCTCACCCTTCCTGCCTCAGCGATCACGTGGTAAAAGGTGTGGCGTGCGCCTCTGTAAAGCCATCTAAGACAGTTTGGAAAGCAAAGCACATTTTGTCTTTTTAAACTTCTGGTTTAATCATCCACAGAGAGAAAAATTAATTTCCTTGCTGTTTTTTACCATAACTCTTCAATGATAAAGACTTTCCTGACATACGCAATATATACAGTATTTCAAAATGTAGCCACATTTTACACATTCTGGTCTTTTATGTATTCTCCCAAACGATCAGGAAATCATTTCAGACTCAAAATTATTTCTCGTAAGATGCCAGATATAAGTCCCTCCCCAGCCACACTCTTCTTTCTCTCCTTCTACTACAGAGGCTGAAAAGCTAAATCTTTGCATTCCCAGCCTCCATTACAGTGAAGGGGCCACACAAAGGTCTGGTCAGTAGGATGTAGGGGACATCTGTTGGGTGGGGCTTCCAGGAGAGCTTTCGCTGTTCTGGACTTAGCTGGCAAGGAGACTTTTCCCCTCTGCCTTTCTCTTTAGAAAGTGAGGGTGGTGTCTGGAGGTGCTGCAGCCATCCTGAGGCAGGACACAGTGAGATGTCAAGCAAGGGTGAAAGCATTCCAAAAACAATATGCCTACAAGCTTTGCTGTTTTCTGTATTATTTCATCAACCTGCCACATCAATCGTCTGTGCATATACCCTAATGACTCTAACATGGATTTACTATGTACTAACACTCTACCAAACCTTACAGAAGACAAAAGCACTTCATTCACAGCCCCTGGCTTGTGCAGCCTTCAGCCTAACTAGGGAAACCTGAGGATAGAGAGGTGGTGCATCGCTAAGTATTAAATAGTGTGGTTATGATTAGAACCCTGTAAGAGTTCAGAGAAGGTATAGATAGATGCACATGAAAGGTGAAAAGTGTCAGACAAAACTTGAAAGTAAATCTTCAGTGGGCAGATAAGGAGGAGAGAAGACATTGTGAGCAGGAAGGAATGACCAGGGCAGAAGTACAGAGGCTAGAAGAGCGCAGGGCAGCACGGCGCGTGTGAGAAGACACACAAGTCAGACATCTCTCCCCACTGTCCTGACCATCAGCATTTTGTGCAGATCCTCCTCGAAGGCGTCGATGTTGCAGTCGGTCTCCTCCAGGTGGTCCAGGACCTCGTGCAGCATGAACTGGTAGTACTGCTTCATCAGAAGGCCACCCTTCAGCACCTCCTTACACTCTCTCACCATCTGCAAGACAACAGGCACAAGTTCTACCATTTCACACACTCTGACCAGATTATTTGTCGGTTTTCACACATTTTCCACGTAAATCCTCAAAAAGCTCAGGAAAGAGAAACTTGCCTCTGAAAACCCTAAAATATTTTCCAGATTCTTTGTCAGTTCATTTCACATAAATATCTCAGTGATCTCAACTGAATAATTAAAATAAAACAAATCAGTGAAAACAAAAGTATTTAACAGTATAGCATGAATACACAAAGAAAAACATACAGGCAGAAAACTGATTTGCTAAAATACGTTGTTCTACAAATAAATTTTTATAGAAAATAAATTCTACAGAAAAAGATCTATTTTTCTACTAGTTTACATTACAAGACAAGGGATACAAGAGAAGAATTTCCTCATGACACTGGTCATTTTTAACCAAAAACATTAAATAAAGATTCAAATATACTTACATACCACAGAGCCTGGTGGCCTTTGTAATAATTTAGCAAAGTTTACCTACCGTGATTTGTGGCTTTTACCATCAAAAAACTCAATCACAAAAACAAACAAACCTAAGATTAATCTGATAAAATTAAATGGAAGTCAAGGGGGGAAAAATGAAAGAAAACAAAAGGATGAGTGAAACCGCCATGTGTAGGCCCAGGAGGTACTGTGAGAAGGGAGGGAAGGTGCAATGAGAGGACCTTTACTGTCCTTCTATCAATAACACGCTGGTCACACGCCCTCGAATTCTAACCAGCAGGGACTGTGAGACAAGATCACAGTTGCACTAGTTTTAAGATACATTATCAAGACACGAAAGGAACCACGGTGCTGCTACAGGGAAAGTAAACTGGTATAAACTTCCTAGAATCTAAAAATGTATGACTCACTAGTTAATTTTTACGTTTTATACTCAAACAATAATCAGAGGTGCAGACTAAAACTTACATACAAATATATTTATCACAATATTATTCAAAACAACAATGGGGATTAAATGAGTTATGATGCACTTATATGGTAGAACACTAATGCAGCCACTTAAAATCTTATTTCTGAAAAAAATTTAAGGATGAAAACACATATTCTTTTCTTTTTTATTTTAAATTGTATGTGCAGAAAGTATGTACATACAGAAAAATAAATGGATAGAAATACACCAAAATGTTACAGTGCTTATCTCTGAATGGCAGAATAATCGGATAACTTTCATTTTTATCTATCATTTTCCGTACTTTTCAAATTTTCTAAAATAAACATGGACTGCTTTTACAACAAGATCCCCTTCAAAATGTTTTTAAAATAATTACCCACAGTAAGAGAGTAACGGCTAGAGTTAAATCCATTAAAAAGTGTTAACATAAATTTCTGTTAAAGATGTCACTTAGGCGCTTACAACTCAATCTGAATGCATCAAAGCCAAAATTTCTATTTTATTTTTACTCTAGTAATGCTATCTTAATCTAAGTATTGGTTTTTTACTTTGCAAAATGTTTTAACATAAATTACTGTTTAATCCTCACAACAGCCCCATTAGTAAAAGGTAAACTCCCCCTTGTTTCAGCAGCTTATGTTCCTGAAGTATGTATTTGTTTTGTGGGGAGGAGAGGTAAGCATTTTACCAAAACTTCCTAAATAAGCGCTACAACATGCAGGACAAGTGAAAAGTGTGGCCCAAGTGGACAGAAGGAAAGTAGCTAAGAACCAAGGTGGTGAGAAGGGAGTAGTGCGCCGGTGGACGCAGAGCTCGGGCTGTGCTCGATGAGAACTGAAGCGACGACGGTGAGGTGCAGGACTCCACCTCCAGTTCCATCAGTCGCCCGGCTCCACACCTAACTTAACCAACAGCGTCAAGTCCTCTTCCGTACCTCTCGCACCGCCCGTCCTTCAACTTGCACTCATCCCCTCTGCCCATCCTGTCATTCAGAGCCAAGGAGCTCCTGGCCCTTCAAGCTCCACGGGGACGGACAAGCACAGCCCACACAAAACATAGTAACTGTTTTTCATCAAAATTTGAAATGGTTATTTTATATAGTGAATGTCAATACGGTAATATCATAAGGCATAAATATAAACGCTCTTCAGCACACACTGTGGTAGATACAACTGCTTCTAGCCATTTCTCTGTTACCCTTGGAGTAGCAAACTCACTAGAAAATCCCGCCCCAAATTAATAATAATTAAGAAAGCAGAAGTTGTCATTGTGGCTTAAACCATACGGGTGCCTAAGCCAGCAAAATGGCCAAACACATCCCACCCCTGCATACTGCAGGCATTTACCTGCTTACGTAACAACAACAACAACAAGAATTTAAGAATTTAAACTATCTCTTATGAGTGAATTTTAAGTTTCCAGTCTCCAAAGACTGATGGTAATAGGATATGGAGGGTCGTATCAGCACCACACTTTCATAACCTTTTCGAATGAGGAAGTGGAAGATAGAGAGGTGGAATCATCATCTCATCTTTGAAGAATGCATGGAAAAAAGAACAATTAGGGGGAAAATCCTAAAAATAAAAATGCTGAGCCTGTAGAAAAATGTCATAAATGCTCAATATTTTTAAACAGTCTTTGAAACAAACCTGCTTAATACTCAAGAGAGATGGTTCTCCAGCAGGTCTCTGTTCCAACCTTAACTTGAGACATTCGTGTATGACATTCAGAAGGACTCGACAGAGGACCAGGAAGGCAGGTTCGAATGAGGGTAAATCCATGGACTTCAGCTCATCCCACGAGACAGCGCTGCACTTCTGCTCCGAGGAAGGCGGCGTCCTGGACAGCTGCACGTAATCAGAACCCCACATGGGATCCGGAAATTCAGAAAACTGTAACACAAATTCAACAGAGCTGAAAAGAGCATCCAGGAGAACTTGCTACAGTTGTAGATATAAACTAGGATTCTCTATAGTTTGCTGACAAACCTATAAAAATCATAATTTTACAGGAAAAATAATCTTTAGAATAATTCACCATTTTCAACGAAGACCTAAAAAGCTCTAAAAGTATTAGAAAACCGTAACAAGAACTAAAAGGAAGTTGTAATATCTTTATCAAAAAAGTATAGTAGGAAAAGAACCAAGTTCACCTTTTTCATCATGCATTTTGTTTATCATACCTAAAATAATCGGAGCATTTAGTTTTAAGGCTATACACAGTATTATCCACAACTATCTCTAGACTGACAAAACCAGAGAATTATTAAATTTGAGAAAAGATTACAAAACCAGGTAGCCATTTGTGTAAACATAAAAACTAGTGGGTTTAGCCAAGTCTTTTGTCCACTTGTTCTCCTGACCTACACCAAAGGAGGCTGAAAGAGAAAAATTCATAAAATTAACCTGGCTGGTCCCACTCAAATATATGTTATTTGATGTTTTCTAGGAATCCTACTGTTGCTCACCCATTCATACAGTCGTCACCGTCAAACTCCTACGCTTTTCCCCATAAAACAGAAGATTTGGAGATTTCTCAGTGTTCTTAAACCTCTGGCAACATCATCCTGACCAATCATTCAAAGGTCTTGCCTTCTCCTTCTATTGAGAAAACTGAAGCCATCCAAAATCTCAACTTTTCTTCAATTTAAAACATCACCAATTTAGTTATTGTGCCTCCAAATGTCACTCATATCTGTGCTCCCTGACATTTAGTGAACACTTAACTGGTCTCCCCGACTCACATTCTTTTATGTTCAACACATGTTTTGGCATTTAAATTAATACATACTTTAGTTTCCCATAACAGGCAAGAATTTCTAAAATAGCTGCATAATTTTAAAAATGATTACTTGTGATAAATGTGGTCAGGGTTAAGACATGTCTGTTTAAAAGCTTTAGGCAGTATAAATGCTTGTTTCTTCTGGTGTGGAGAATGACATCAGACAAAATATTTATTTAGAGCTCTACAAAATTCAGCAAGCTTTCTACGATAAAATTCTAAAGAATTCTTTCGGCATTCTCTGTAGTTCCAGCCTGTTGACCCATCTGCTTCAGGCTAACTGGGAAGGGACAATCCCTCCTTCTCAACAACTGCAAGACAACACCGCCTGGAGAAGCAGCAGCCTCGCAGGCCTACACAGCTGCTGAGGATACACATTCCTGCTGGTGTCACCTGGGGCGTCAAGCCCCATCCAGACAAAGAGGAACAGACATTAAAAAACTCCTGAGCGTGGAAGAGGGGACAGCAGTTTTAACCAGGGACACCAACGTGAAGAATCAGAAAAGCTGACAGTGACTGAATGTAGGACACAGGAGAGAACAACAAAAATACTCTCTAATGCAAGATCTCATTAAAGTCCTCTGGAAAAAAAAAAAAAAAAAGACCAAGATTTCTGAAATAAATTCCATAAAGGGAGTGAAAATAGAATGAATGCTGTCAAAGTCTGAATCAATAATTTAGAAATTAACTGCAGAAATGATCACTATAACCCAGAGCAAAAGAAAAAGGAATAGAAATTTTGAGTGAAAAGTAAGAGAAATGGAGGGCAGATCTAGGAGCTGTAACGTAAGAATAATAGGAGTTCCAGAAAGAACAAAAGGAAGAGGTGGAGGAGAGCTTTCTGCACAGTCAAGATACCACTAATATGTAAAGAAGAAGGGAAAAAAACTCTTTGAATAAGGAAGAACCCAAAGTACAATTCATTTACCTTCTCTAAAAAACTACCTGAGGAAGAACAGGAGAGTCTGGTCAAATGAAAATTGGATCAGAATAAAGATCTCAAGATAGAAAAAGAAAAACGCCCAAGGAAATGAGAAGCCATGAATCTCGAAGAACGTATACAGGCAGATATAACTCCATGATGATAACTTGGTTAAGGACTATAATTCAAGTTTTAGTAAGGAATACTGGAAACTGAAAAAAATAAAAAAGCATACTGTGAGGAAAAACCTGGATCTTAAATGCCCAATTATTTAAATAAAACACAGGGAGAGAGGAAAGGGGTAATAAGGTGCAAGAATGGCCTATTTATTCTTTCATTCCAGTGAGAAATATAGTATTAAATGTAGTATAAAATCCCTGAACAATCCAATCAAACTGAAAAGACTCAATAATGTAGGGACATTAATAAAAACTCAATGTAATTACAATCATAATCGCAATGGCATTTTGTGTGGGTTAATAAATTCATTAAATAAAGTTCAGGTGTAAGAAAGTAATGTACAAAAATAAAAACAGCCCAGAAACTTTTGAAAAGAAAGAATGTATGGGAAGAACTGCCCTACACAATGCCAAATCTTACTAATAAACCAACTGTATTTAAAACAGAAAAGTTCTGACACAGTAATAGACAGAGCAACAGAACAGAGAAACATATCCAATTACCTATGATAATTCAGAATATAAAAAAGGCAGTTCAAGAAGTTGAAAAATAACAGATAATCCAATGAGTATTTTAGGGAATTAAATAAAGAATAGCTACATCCTTCCCTTACCCTACACACTTATGCCTCACATTATTTTTTTTTAATTAATTAATTAATTTTTTTGGCTGCGTTGGGTCTTCGTTGCTGCGCGTGGGCTTTCTCTAGTTGCGGCGAGTGGGGGGCTACTCTTCGTTGCGGTGTGCAGGCTTCTCATTGCGGTGGCTTCTCTTGTTGCGAAGCATGGGCTCTAGGCATGTGGGCTTCAGTACTTATGGTACGTGGGCTCAGCAGTTGTAGCTTGCGGGCTCTAGAGCGCAGGCTCAGTTGTTGTGGCGCATGGGCTTAGTTACTCCGCGGCATGTGGGATCTTCCCGGACCAGGACTCGAACCCGCGTCTCCTGCATTGGCAGGCAGATTCTTAACCACTGTGCCACCAGGGAATCCCAACCTCACATTATTAAAATTAATCATTTTTTTAATTATATGGCTATTTTAGAAATTTTTGCCTGTTATGAGCAACTAAACTACAGTCATCCCTCAACGTCCATGGGGGATTAGTTTCAGGACCCCCTGCTGATACCAAAACCCCTTATATAAAATGGCACAGTATAGCCGGCCCTCATTATCTGTGGGGTCGCATCCACGGATTTCAATCTGATCTGTGGTTGACTGAATCCACAAATGAGGAGCCAGTGGATATGGAGGGTCAACTCTAAGTATTAAGGTAAATACAAAACTATATGTTGAACCTATACATTTTGAAAAAGAGATTCCAAATGTTTTAGAACCTAAACACAGAGCTATACCTTAGGTTAAACCATATAAAATTACCATTTTAGTCAATCAAAACTGATCAAGTAGTGGCAATTTGACAGGTCAACATGATAAAAAGATTTCTGCAAAGACAGTGATGACAGTAGGATTTCAATTTCCCTTAGTTCCCCCAAAAGGACAGAACAACTAAGACAACAAAATCAAAACTCCATGAGACACATTTACAATAAAACTAGGTGAAAGGTAACTTCATGAACCCCAAAATAGAAAGGGGGAGGGAAACAGTCCCTGGACCCATGGGATACCTCATACCCACACCCCACACCCAACCAGTATCCTAGATCCCTATGAGCATTTGTGCAGGGGAAGCAGAGGGGATTAACGGAGTGTCTGATGGGGCTAAAGGGACAAATTCCAAAATTGCCAATGAATACTCAATAGAAAGCTCACTGCTTCTATTTGAGGGCTTCCTGACATTGGGAATGACTGTGGCACCAGTTCCTGAGTGAAGTCAGTGGGTGGGCAATTAGGTCTGAAGGGGCTAAAGTGGTTTACACCCCCAAAACTCTTGAAACTCTCAGCCAAAATTTCCTTCTAGGACAAAGCTCCACACCCCGAAGAAACTGCTGGGGTGAAATCCAACTGACCAGTAAAGGACAACAGAGGTAAAGGAAAGAGAAGGGCCAGAAAAAGGGGGAGAGGAACACAGCCAGGAGACCTCAAAAAATAAGAGATGTATTACTTATCAATTCAGAAGAGAGAGCTTAAAGCATAAACCTAAATGCTTTCTTAACTCTCTCTTTTCTTAAAGTTCATAAAAACAAATATCATGTTTAAAAATGAACAAGAAAAAAGGATTGTGTTAGAATCCAATACATGGTTATTTTAAGGAAATAACCGTAAGAGAGAATAAGCGAGAGAATTGAGAGAGAATAAGGAGCTGAATAACCCTACAGACAATGAACGCTTGCCAGAGAGACATGCCCACTAAGTAGGTGATACAGGGACCTGATTCTCAAAATATGCTAAAAGAAATTTTAAAAATCTCAGAAAATATAAAAGAACGACACAAATTTGAATTAGAAACACTCACAAACCAAGTGAAAGAACTCAGAAAATAATTCTTCAGAAATTGTACATCATTTCAAAAATAAAAAGCTAGATGGAACACAAGAGCAAATAAAAAGAGATAATGCCTTCACAGAAATACGAGGAAGAAAATTTTACTTAAAAAAAGGAAAAGACTTGAAATGAAGTGAAAGGGAAGATAGGCAAAGTAGATTCAGAATACATACAGTAGTGGTTCCCAGAGAAGAAAACCAAACCAATGAAACAGAAAAAATTAAAACATAAAGACATTCACTTGAATCAAAAAAAATAAAAAAATAAAACCAAAACAAAACCCTGAAACTATACATTGAAAGGACATCATGTATTCAAAAATATCAATGTGGAAAAACCAGCACCAAGTAAAACTAGTGGAATTTAAAGAAAGACAATCTTTTAGGTATCCAGGTTATAAGTAAATTAATTAAATAAATAAACCAAGGTTCCTTTAAGTGGAAACAAAAAAATCATATTGTCATCAGACTCTGCAATCTCAATGCTTCATGGCAAAAGACAATGAATAACATATACTAAATTTATTCGGGGAAAAAAATATAAGCCAAATATATTACGGCCAGCCAAAC